CTGCTTCCAAGATGGTGCCTTGTTGCTGTGTCCTCACATGGTGGAAGGAAGGACCTCAGGCCTCTTCTATAAGGGCATTAATCCCATTCATGAGGGTGGAGCCCTCTTGACCTGATCACCTCCCAAAGGCCTTATCTTTTATTGCCACCACAATGAGGATTAGGTTTCAACACTGAATTTGGAGGTGACATGAACATTCAGACCAAATCAAGAAGGTACTCAAGAGTCTGCCCCTCTCAGACTGCACTGGCCAACTCAGTTCCCTTCCTTCTCTGCTCCCATGGCTCACAGTACCAAACTCTGTGTTTGCACCATCTCTCTACAGGTGAATGACTTATGGACACATCTGTCTCCTTGAGCAGGGGAAGCCAATGAGTTGGGGGGATGGGCAGAAGGCACAAAACCTTAAAAGCCATGTAGAGGAGTCTACCATAGCCTTGGAGTCTGGGTGTCTATGATAGACTAAGATGAAAGTGAAGCATCTTTTACTTGTGTTTTTTTCAAAGTGCAAAGATGGAAGATTGTCTAAGGAGGCCCAAGAGTTCATTTATGGTACATCCAGGCTCCTGTGGGCATTTGAGATTACATTCCTTGCTGCAGACCCATATTTTCCAAATTGGGATACCTGTTGGTCTGTCAGGTGGTACACAGAACAGGTTAAATGTGGCATGTGTTCCTGGGACAGCAGGAAGATGTGACAGAAAGGAATTGTATATTTTAAAAAGCACGAATTCACTGGGGAGCATGATGCCAAGCATGGATTGAAGAATGTCAAGTTTGCAGCAGAATGTGACCCAGATTCCTTGAGTGGCGAGCAGAATGCAAGGATGTTCTTCTGCCTAGAGACCCACAGGAGTGCTCTGGAGCCAGCTTGTGTTGACTTGGGAAATCTCATTTTCGTGAATTTTGCTAGCCAGTTGTTAAATACAGACATTAACACACACACACACACACACACACACACACACACACACACACACACACACTCTTTCAGAGAGCCAGGTGTTAAACATTTACCAGCACACCTGTGCTCAGGGATATTTGACAGATAGAATATGAGAAGGTCATTTGAGTTTGAGAAGGACTGACAATAGAAAACTATTTTATGATTGGCGTGGTCAGATTTGCTTGTTACAATTCAGGAACTATGTCTTAGTCATTTTCCCCTTCTCAGTCCCCAGTCCGGGACTTAGCATGTGGGCAGGAATCATGTTTGCCAAGTGGAAGAAAGAATGGATGATGGCATGCATTAAGCATTTTCTCTAAGTTGCTCGACAAATATTTTGAGTGCCTGCGATGTGCCAGGCACTGTTCTTGGCACTGGAAACACAATCCCTGCCCTCCTAGAGCTTGCATTCTAGTGGAGGAGAGCAACGATCGAGTAAAAAATCTGTTTTCAGGTGGTAAAATCTTGTTTCAGGTGGTGACAATTATATGAAGAAAAATGAACCAGGGTGAGGGGATGGAAACGGGCGTCACTCTTCTCTACCAGGAGCTAAGGTTCAGGAAGGAGAGATGGCTCTATCTGTCCAAAGCTATGTGTCTTCAGGAAAGCCATTTCACCTCTCTGGGCTGTGGAAACTGATTGTCTTCAGCTGATATTTGGGTCCCTCTGCAGACTCGCTTGGGTTCTGTAGAAGAGCTGAATTGGCCTTGACCAAATTCGCTTTTTTGTAGTCTGAAGCTTTGGATGCTATGGCTCCCTAGGTGGTTCTTGAAGTTCTGCTGACAGAATGTCAGGATTCCAGGAGCTTCTGTAAATAGGGTGCTGTTTATTGTACCACTGCCTTCCCACATCATTGTTTGCTGTACAGGAAGAACCTGGGTCAGGCCTGCCCTCTGTTCCCTCTGTGGAACCCTGGGACCATGCCCTTTGGCTCCAATCACCCACTGGCATTAAGAGGGCCTTTTATTTTTATTTTTATTTTTTGTCTTTTTTCGTGACTGGCTACGGATCGCAACCCTTGGTGTCGCTCCCGCATCTCGCTCAGCCAGTGAGCGGCTGGTCCGTATGTGGGATCCGAACCCTCGGCGGGAGCGCTGCTGCGCTCCCAAGCGGCGCACTGTAGCAGTGCGCCACCGGGCCGGCCCAAGAGGGCCTTTTCCACAAAGGGCCTGGTGCAGAGTCTCAGCCACCTGGGGAGACTTCAGGGTTCTAGAAACAGCTCTGCAACCTACCTGCTGTCTCACCTTTCCTCTCTCTGGTCCCAGTTTTCACATCTGTAAAGCCAGGGAAATGCTAGGAGGTTGGTGATGATCTGATCATTCTTGCCTGGATCAGGGAGGTCTCAGAGGCTGCCCGGGTGGGTGGAATGGAAAGAGAGAAGAGAGGAGCCCTATGGACAGTTCCTTATCCCACTTCTCTCAGAAAAGCTCCTTTTTTATCTGATTTTTACATTCAGGGTTTCTCTGTTTTATATATTGTGATTCAATATACAATTGAGCTTGAACAAAGGACTGTGGGTTATAAATATTTATAGACTGCAGCTTCTGTGATCCTCTAAGCGATCTCACCCCTGATATGTAGAGATCTACTTGGGCTAGGAAATTGAAAGAATGATGAGAATTTAGAGAATTTTTTGTCATGGTATTTGATTTCGTATTATTGCTTTTGCTTTTGACCTTTAACGTGTGTGTCTGATAACCTGGGTTCTTCCGAGTTGGGTTCATTTGTTTTACAATTGCTCTTCTCTGCCCCCTTAACAAGTAAGTTTTAGATAACTCTGGAGGCCTATTTAATTTTTTTTTTCCTTCAGGAGAATGTGTCTTAAGTCAATAGGAAAACGGGATTTGCTGTACAGAAATTCTCTCTGCAGAAGACTTTTTGTTCATATGCAAATTTCTTTTTTTTTCCTTTTTGTCTTTTTTTTTTACTGACCGGCAACGGGATCGCAACCCTCGGTGTCGTGCCCGCACCGCGCTCAACCAGTGAGCGGGAACCGGTCTCCACATGGGATCCGAACCCTCGGCGGGAGCGCCGCCACGCTCTCAAGCGGCGCACTCTCCAGTGCGCCACCGGGCCGGCCCTGCAAATTTCTTGAGTGAACGTGAGCACCAGTGCAAAAGCTAAGAGACTTGGGAATCTGGAAATTCTCCAATGTAGGGCATGTTAAGCAGTCTTGGGATGTGTTTCTCTAGATATGATAGTGCATGTGAGTGTGTCCCATGGTCTTCCTCATCTCAGTAAATGACAATCCCATTCTTCCCGTCACTGAGACCAACAACTTTGCAATTGCCCTTGGCTTCTCTCTTTGCCTAACACACCAACAACAGATCCATCAGCAAAGCTCTCTGGCTCTTCCTTGGAAACATAAAAAATTCGACCACTTCTCACTACCTTCACCACCCCCACCAGCCCCGAGCAGCCAGTATCTTGCACTTGAATTATTGCCAGAGCTGTCTCATGGGCTCCCTGGTCCTGCCCTGGCCCCCCTGTTAGATGGATTCACTAATCATAGCATCTTCTCCATAACTTGATAACTGTCCTGTTTAGCTGAGGATATGTTCTCTTAGGATAGTGCTTGCTAGTATGGTGTCCTGTGGACACCAAATAAAGCCAACGAAACTTACCATGAGGAAGAAGTAAGAAGCGTGAAGTGACACCAGACAGCACCAACTCCAAGAAAAAGTTTGTGTTTCCTGGAACATGAAAGATCACTGCCTTGAGAGAATATAAAAAGCAAGGGTGGGGCAGTGAGTAGTTTTATTCAGTGTCCATGTGAATAATAAAACACTGTTTATTACAGATCCTGTGGGACATCAATGTATCAGGTGGGGAGGCTTTGTCATCCATCGCTCTCTTGTTTTGAGAGCAGGTTTCTATTTTGATGGGTTTTGACAAATGTACATACACATGTAACCACCATTACACCCCAGGTCTAGAACATTTCCATCACCCCAAAGGTTCCTTCATGCTCCTTTGTTTGTAACCCCATCCCTCCTAACACATACACCTCCCAGCCCAGCCACCATTAATCAATTTTGTTTTGAATCTTAAATTGCCTTGTCTGCCTTTCACTGGTTCTAGTATTGAGCCAATAATGGCAGCAGGGTACTTAGTCAATAGCACTGGCTATTGGAGATAGATTGCCATGGTCTGCTCAGCCATTACCTTGCTAGTAACCTCCTTGCACCTCAGCCATTGCCTTGCTAGTACCTCCTTGCTAGTAACCTCCTTCTAATTCATAAAACGGGGATAATACTTGTACCTACTTCACTGTGAGGAATAAACAGCACCTGGCACTTAACAGCCCAATAAATATTGGTTATTGTTACTATTCAGAGTGTGCCGTGTGTGCTGGGCATTGTGCTAAGTGCCATGTATGAATGGGGCAGTTGCTACTTGGGCTCCTTCCACAACCCTTTGGTCCTCACCATTCCTGCACATGCCAGTAGCTTCTTACTGCATCTGAGAAGCTCCACGGGAGTGTTTTCTCTGGCTGCAGGAGTGTGCTCCCCCTGTACATGGGGAAGACCAGAAGCATTAGGGAGTTTCTGTTCCCAGGAACAGCCCTTAACCAGTGATGGCCAGGAGTTGGCAGACAACTACTCCAGTTTCCTTGCTTCCCAGGCAGGGCAACTCTGAGGCATGTTCTACACTGTCTCACAGGGTTTCCCATCAGGACTGAGCCCCCATTATCCACGGTGGTGACCTTTGCATAAACATACTCTGTATTGGCTTTCTTCTCTATTTCACTTCCCCACTGCCCTTCTAGAACTTTTCATTCTCATCCTCATCCAGGGGTTACTTCTAAAAAAGTGGGGTCATTCATTTAGTCCTCAACAGTCCTATGAGGTGGACAGAAATGGCTTCCCCATTTTATAGTTGAGCAAAATGAGGCTCAGAAGGGTGACGCCATCTGCTCAAGGTCAAAGCTCTGGGTACTTACATACTCCACAGCTTCCCCAAGACTGCATTTTGATGGGCTCTGCCCCAGGACTTCTTCCCCCTCTGCACCTGAGCTCTACTGACCCCTGAGTCTGCGTCTCCCCCACTACAGGAAGGCCGCTGCCTGTTCACCATCCTGCTCATGGTGGTATACTGGTGCACAGAGGCTCTGCCCCTCTCGGTGACAGCCCTGCTGCCCGTCATCCTCTTCCCCTTCATGGGCATCCTGCCCTCCAGCAAGGTCTGCCCCCAGTACTTCCTCGACACCAACTTCCTCTTCCTCAGTGGTCTGATCATGGCTACTGCCGTCGAGGAGTGGAACCTGCACCGGAGAATTGCCCTCAGGATCCTGATGCTCGTTGGGGTCCAGCCAGCCAGGTAAGGCCAGGTAACAGGCCAGCCCTGCACTGGGGAGGAAGAGGGACCACACCTCTCAAAGCCCAAACCCATTCTTCCTGATTTAGTCACCCCGGCCAAGAAACTCATCATTTCCTGCCATTCATTCACTTATTCATCTCTCAACTATGAATATTTAGTGAGCACCTGCTGTGTGCCAGACTCAGTGCTAGGACCACGGGCAGTTGTTTTCAGAGGTGCATAAGAATCACCTGGGAAGCGCTTGAGATGCTGACCCTCCGAGGCTCCACCCCCAGGAAGTCCAGTCCCATAGTTCTTGAGGAGGCCACCTTAGCAGTATGACCCAGACTGCTCAGGGCTGAATCCCAGCTTACCTGCTCTGGAAAATGACTTAACTTCCCTATGCCTGCAAAATGGTGATGCAATAACACCTCCTTCACAGAATTGTTGTGAGGATTAAGTGAGTGAATGCAGGTAAATCACTTAGATCTGAACAGTAAATGCTGGAGTTATCATCCTTGTTTACCATTTACCTGCTTGGGTGGTGGAGGTAGGGGATTGGAGAGGGGAGGGGAAGCCGAGGGGATGGGAAAATGGGCTTGGAGAGAGGGGGAGGCACAGTCCAATCCTATAGGGCCCCAGGCCCTCTGGCTAGGAGCTGGACTTTTATTCTCAGAGGGTTAAGTGGCCTTTAAAATAGGGGTGCTGTTTCAGTCTTTTCTGTTGTTGTTTCACAAACCCCTTTGGCAATTTGTTGAATCTTAAGGATCATCCCGGAATAATGTTTTTAAATGCACAAAGCACAACATATGATTTAAAACATATATGAGCAAAGTTGAGCAAAGTCTCCTAAAGTCTAAAATAAGCCTGGAGAGTGGATTTGGTGCTCGCTTTGCCATTGGCTTGCCTTTTCTGAGCCTTAACATTCCACCTGTAAAACAAATGGGTTGGATCTGGGTTCTGGATCTACCTCTAACTCCCTCTGTTCCCCAGGCTCATCCTGGGGATGATGGTGACCACGTCGTTCCTGTCCATGTGGCTGAGCAATACTGCCTCCACTGCCATGATGCTGCCCATTGCCAATGCCATCCTGAAGAGTCTCTTTGACCAGAAGGAGGGTCGGAAGGACATCAGCCGGGAGAGTGAGGAGAATGCAGGTGAGGCTGTGGAAAGGGACAGGGGCCAACTCCACCAATGTGCAGGAGTGGGGGGCGGGGGATGTCCAAAGGATGTCAGGAAAGGCCAAGGGGAATGCACACTTATTGAGCACCTACTATATGCCAAGTATTTTAATAATAATAATAACTGAGAATTAGATAAGTCAGACCATGTTACCTTGTTTTTAAAAAATCTGCACTTATTGAGTGCTTACTATGTACCAAACAATGAGTTAAACACTTTACATATGTCATTCCCTTTAACTCTCAAAACATCCCTGTGAAGTTGGTACTATAATTAAACATTGTTTTAAAGCATTTGAAGAGGTGCTCAACATCATTAATAGCCAGAGAAATGTAAATTGAAACAGTGAGATTTAAATCAATGAGACTGGCAAAAATATAAAGCCAGAAACGCCCAGTGCTGGTAGATACGGGGGCCATGGGAACTCATGTGCAGTGCTGGAAAGAGTGTAGACTGGATCAGCCTTTTTAAAGGGCATTCTGCAAGTATTTAATCCAATTGAATTTGCATATACCTTGTAACCCAGTAGTTTTGCTCCTGAATGCAAATGCCAAAGGAATTCTTGCACAAGCCATGAGAGGACACACATGGCAATATTCCCTGCAGTATTCTTTGTGGTGTGGGGAGTTGGTGGCCACATGGGCTCCATTGCTAGCAAAAGGGTGGGTGAATGTGGTAGGTGCACACCACTGAGCACTTTGCTGCTTATAAGAGAAAAGAATTAGCAAACCATATAGTTGTATAAATGAATCTCATAAAACAGTTATGATTGGGAAGAAAACCAGAATGTGATATATAGAACACAGTCCCAATATGTAAACTAAATATACACACATGTGAATGACAAAACATTTTGTGAAAACACAAACAAAAAAGCTGCACATTATACACAGAATGGTTGCTATGGGAAGGATGGGAGTGGAAATGGGGACAGAAGGGACTAAAAATAAATAAATAAATAAGACAAAAGAGGGACCTTGGGCAACCAACATTGGTAATGTGCTATCAATGGGGGGATTTGATTTCCTCCACCTTCTAATATTGTGTTCTTAACAAAACTAAACACAGTTAGCCACTGTGTTTTTAGATGACTATGTGACAGCTCAGAGAGGGAAAGTGCCTTCCCCAAATCACACAATGGGCAAATGGCTGAGCCTGACTTTGAACCCAGGCAGTCTGGTTCCAGGCAGTCTGGCTCCACCCTCTTACCCATGAAACCAGCTGTACTCAAATCAGTGAAAATTCTTTTGGCTGCAAGTGGCTTAAAGAAAAAAAGATTTATTTTCCTCAGATATCAAGAAGTCAGAGAAAGGCAATTCCAGGATCTATTCAGATGCACAACGATGTCAGGACTTTTTGTTGGCAACTCTGTGATTCTCTTGGTCTTTCTCTCATGGTTTTAAAGTAGCTGCCCCATCATGTTCACTTCAAAATGTCTTACTTTTAATTTACATAAATATATTTTAAAAGGAAAGTTTAAATCAATACATAAATTATTGGTTTATCCCCAGCATGGATTCTTCCTTTGTTCTTTTAGTAATAGAATCTCCACATGGGTACATGGCTGTGCAGAGAAAAGGCTAAATTTCCCAGTTTCCCTTGCAATTAGATGTGGTCAGGTGACTAAGTTTGGCCAATGAGATTTGAGTGGAAATGATGTGCACAACCTCTGGGTTCTGCCCTTCCTGCTGTCTACTTCCTGCTGGGTGGAATATGAATATGGTGGCAGAAGTGAGAGATTCCACCTGGGACCCAAAGAGGGAAGCCTCATCTTGAGAGCTGGATGGCAGATCTGCCCCAGAAGCTTTGGATCACTTACCACAATTAAAATCACAAGCATTAAGCATGAAACCATGGGTTTTGTGTGCTAGTTATATTTTTTTCAAATATGCATTAAAATAAATATGTATTTGTTAAAATTTAAATGTTGATTCATATACCACCTAAGTTCATCTCACTTGCCGACAGTGGTATGAGTATTTATCCATCATGCACTAAGGGGTCCTGCTTATTTTATTTCTACAACTGCCCTGAAAACTAGGAATAATTATAAGTACTATACAGATAAGGTTCAGGGAGAAGAACCCGATGATGTAATCAGAATTACAATATTGGTAAAGTAGAGGAGACAGGTTCTATGCAAGGGCTAAGTCTTCCACATGGAAGGGAAGAGATGCTCTATGGCAGGGGTCAGCAAACTTTTTCTGTAAATGACCAGATAGTAAATATTTTAGGCTTTGTGGGCCACTCTGTTGCAACTACTCACCTTTGCCCTCGCAAAGAGAAAGCAGCCACAGACAAAACATAAACAAGCATGCGTGGCTATGTGGCAATAGCATTTTATTTATGAGTGCTGAAAATAAAATGTCATATCATTTTGTCACATCATTAAATAATATTAGTCTTCCATTGATTTTTTCCAACCATTTAAAAATGGTAAAACCATTCTTAGTTGGCAGGCCACACAAAAACACGGGGTGGGCCTGCTGTACAGTATTAGCATTACTGGGCTTTAAACTGTTACCCCCAAGTCATGGGGCTCTGAGAGAACTGCCCCACAGTCACCCTGGAGTGGCAAAAAGTGGCTGGGACTCTGTCCTTCCCCCCATTCCAACCCTAGCTAGATCCACTTTATCTGTTTTATACAGTGGGCTTCCAAATAACAATAACAGATGTTTACTGAGAACTTACTTAATACAAGAACTTTTCTAAGGGCCTCGTATCTGAATGAGATGGAGCTAGCACTGACCTCATTTAGAGGAATAAAAACTGAAGAAGAAATAAAAAAGGAGGATGAAATAGCCCCCCATGTGACACAGTTTCAAAACACTGGCTCTGGTGTTTTAAATCCAGGCTGGCTGACTTCAGAGTCTGCATTCTTTCTCTCCATTATTCTGCCTCCCCCCAAGCAAATGTTTGAAAGCCAATTCTTTCATTATAAAAGTGAAAAAAATCTGAGACCCAGGAAGGGGAAGGGACTTTCTCAAGGTCACACACAGTGGTGATAGTGTAGTGAACTCCAAAGTCTTCCTCCCTATGCTGCAAGATGTCAGGAAGGAAGAGACCCAGGGAGGCTGGGGCTATACCTACTTCCACAGACCATGGGATCAAAGAGCAGGAATTGGTTAATGATCAGCATGTATGACCTCAAACAAGGCTAATTCCAAAGCAAAAAGAGATAATCCCTTTCACTCAGTTTCTGTGTTTTGACCAGGGGGCAGGATGTGAGGACAAAGGTGGAGGGAGTGGACCCTGTTAGTGGGCCATGAGAGGAACAAGGGGGCTCCCAGGGACTTTAAATTCAGGAGGGACGTCTATACCAGCAGCAGCAACAATAATGAGCTATCATTTTCTGAAGAGCCACCATAAGCTAGACACTTTGCTAAAGTTTTCATACCTATTAGCCTATTTAATCTTCATAACTGCATCATGAGATAGATGATCTCAATTCTATGGATGAGGTGACTGAGTCTCAGAGAGGCAAAATGATTTGCCCACAGTAACATGGTAATTTAGTTGCTGAGTTCTGTCTGAATCCGGAATCTGTGCTTATGCACACCATGCCATGGTACAAGCCTGACTCTGCCACTAACCCACTGGGTCCTCTTGATCCCAACCTTAACCCACATCTCTGGGCCTCAGTTTCCCCAGGTGTAAAGAGGAAGGTAATAAACCTTGCCTAGCTTTCCAAGGCAGCTCCCAGAATGCTGTAAGATTACAAATGTGAAAGTCCTCAGTCTCCCCGCCTGATACAAACTGAAGGACTGGTATTATTCGAAAAAGACCTTACATAAGCACCAATCTCCTGATCAATTTCTGTACCTGGAGAGGTCTCTTTGGAGACTGTGCCGCACTGGCCTGTTTCCACGTGGTCTTTTGGGCTGCTATGGCAAGCTGGTGAGCACACAGACCTCTAAGGCATGGACAGCACCTGGAGTTTTCAGTCCCCCGTCTGTAACTGCAGACGACTTGTTCTCAACCCTGGTTGCACAACAGAATCACCTGCAGAACTTTTCAGAAATACTGAGGGCCCGTCCCCAGTCTAGGGTCACTAAACAAACTTTCTGGCATGGGGCCTGGGGACCCCCAGGGAATTCTAGTGTCCAGTCAGGGTTGAGGAAGGCGGCTGTGGGTTATGCCTGAGATGCTGATGACTCTGTGGACCTGGATACTGTGTGAAGCTGTGGTTCCAGCCTAGGCAGGAGGGGTATAGAACGAGCTAGAGATTGGGGGTAGCTTAGGGGTCACTGGGTCAGAGTCCTCTCTATCTGGCCATCCCCTGGGGAGCGACTTTGCCCCCACCATCAGTGTGCTATTAACAGCCCTTCGCTTCCTGCTTCAGTGCTCTGGGTTCCAGCTTCGGGCACTGCATGTGGACATGTGTTCCCATCACGTGAGCCCTGAGGCCCTTGTCCCCATGGCCTGGGCTGAGATGACCTGACTTTCAGTCTCCAGGCCCCTGCCGGTGGTCAGCAGGGCCAGCCTCAGGCACAGTAGAAATGAGTCAGTCACCATGAAATCCTGTTCCCTCATGGTACCAACAGGCAAATAGCAGCCCAGGTGGGAAAGGGACTTCCCAAGCCAGGGGGCAAGACAGGAAAAGAGCTGAAGCTGGGGTCCAGCCCCTTCCTCCCAGCCATGTGGCTGAGTATGTGGCCTGCTTTCCATGTGAAGGAAAATTCCACATAAAAAGAAAAGATTAAACTTTTTTTTTCTCTGCTAGAGTTCCTTTTCAGAGTATCAACACCCTTCAGCCAAAGACCCCAGGAACTCTAGGTAGATAAACAAGCCGAGTCTATTCATTGCAGCAGGCAGGAAGAGCCTACACCATGCTGTGAGTATCTCAGTGCAAGGGTATTAAAAAGAATCTGTGAGAGGATTTGGGCTCCGGTTGAATCACTTGGGGGAAGGTCTAAGGAAGCAAGGTTTGTTCTAGATTGTGTGCAGTCAGACACCAGGGGCCGTTCTCTGACTGGGTACAGCAATGCAGTCGCTCATTTAGCAAGAGAGGGGGGAGCTTGGTAGTTTGTCGGCAGCATAGTGACCTTGCACTTAGACAAGATTATGAAGTGGTCTTGCCTTGTCTCATTCTGTCACAGTCTCAGAGTGACTTTGTCTGAGGTTCTTGTTCTGTTAGATTGCTGAGGTCCAACAGAGAATAACACGGCTTGGCTGTGAGTGTCAGACCAGTTCCGGATGTCAGGGGCTGCTTTCTTTATTCTTTCTCAAGAGTAATCCCCATTTACTGAATCCTTGCTAGTACACAGCTTCCTGTTAAAATTTTTATATCAACGGTTGGCAAATTGCTGAGGTCCAACAGAGAATAACACGGCTTGGCTGTGAGTGTCAGACCAGTTCCAGATGTCAGGGGCTGCTTTTTTTATTCTTTCTCAAGAGTAATCCACATTTACTGAATCCTTGCTAGTACACAGCTTCCTGTTAAAATTTTTATATCAACGGTTGGCAAGCCATGGCCCACCAATTCCAGCCCATTTCTTGCTTTTTGGGCAGCCTGTGAGCTTAGGATAGTTTTTCTCTTTTTAAATGGTAGAAATAAATCAAAAGAAGAAAAATATTTTGTGACATGAAAATAATATGAAATTTCAATTTCAGTGTCTCAAAATAAAGGTTTGGCCACACTCAATCACTGATGTACTGTCTGTGGCTGCTTTCCTGCTATCGTGGCAGAGCCGAGAAGTCATAACAGAGACCACATGGCCCCCAAGGCCTAAAATACTCACTTTGGCTTTTTACAGAAGTTTGCTGGTCCCTGCTCTAAATGGGTTAAATCTTTAATCCTCTTGACAATCCTAGGAGAATTGTTACATCTATTTTGTGAATTAAAGAACTGAAGTCCAGGGAGATTAAGAGATTTATCTAAACCAGGGTTTCTTAACTTCAGTGCTATTGACATTTTGGATGGGATACTTCTTTGTCAGGGTGGGCTGACCTGTGTATTGTAGGATATTTAGCAGAATTCCCGGCCAGTAGCAGAACTGCACCCCCCCCACCCCACCCCCCCAGTTATGACCACCAAAACTGTCTCCAGATATTGCCCAACACACATGTGGGGCAGAATTGGCCCCTGTTGAGAACCAGTGACCTAAGGTCACGTAGTAATTGATGGAGCTATGATTTCAAACTAGGGCCCACATGTTTAGCCACTAGTCACACCCCCAGCTCCCAGGGTGGGTTGTTTTGCCCTTGGTGGTGGTTCCAGCTGCAGGAACTTTCAGTTTATTTATTTATTTTTGTCTCCAAAATATGGTCAAAGGCGCCTGGGGAGTATGGTCTATTAAAGCAGAGGGATACTTTAAAAGTGAAGTCAGATTCTGTCCTGACCCTCTTCTGCTCAAATGCTACCCTGGGTAGCATCTGACTCAGAGAAGCCAAAGTCCTTACTTCACAGTAAGGACTCAGAGACCCCTGCATGACCTGGCTCTCTTCCTGCCCTCCCCACCCTTGCTGTTTCTCTCATCTCGCCTCCTCTTACTCTCCTTTCCCTCAGCCCCTCCAGCCCCACTGGTTTCTCTTCTACTCCCAAGACACTAGGCACACTCTCACCCCAGGGTCTTTGCACCTGCTCTTCATCGCCCCAGATATTTGCATGGCTCATCCCTTCAGTTTCTTTAAGTCTCTGTTCTATGTCAGACTTTCCTTCCCAGTCAGACTTTCTTTCTCAGTCAGATTTTCTCAGACTTTCTTTCTCAGTCAGACTTTCTTCTCAGACAGACTTTCTTCTCGGTCAGACTTTCCTTGAGTCTTGAAAAAGGTGTCTCACTCAGAACACCTGTCCTCATCTCTGCTTCTCCATGACACTCGTCTGCATCTGACAAACTATATATGATGCTTATTTGTCTATGGTCTGTCTCTCCCACTGGAAGGGAAGCTCCACAAAGCATGATGTTCATGTCTTGTCACTTTGTGTCAGGCACAGGAGAGGCACTCCATAAAGATTTACTGATGATTGATTGGCTAGGGTTCATGAGGCTGAGGGCTGGCCCTGGGCTCTGAGTTGCACTGAGCTCTTACCCCAAAAGCAGAATCGAAACACATCCACAGCTTATTCACTCTTGGTTTCTACAGTCACCAGGCTAGTCCAGCCACCATTGTCTCACCTGGAAAAAGTGATAGATCCTGAACTGAGTTCCCAGCTTTCATTTTTTCCTTCTGCAGCTCATCCTCTCCTACCAGGTACAGAGACATTGGCAAAATGTAAATCCTGTCATCCCTCTTGGGCACTAAATTCTTCAGAGGATCCCCATTCCTGATTTGGCTCCTTTGGACCTTTGCCTACCCCATCCCCATCCCCCATCCCTCCTAGGCCTTCCCTACTTACCACTTTCCCAGCACATTGGACTTTCTTGGTTCCTCAACTCTGCCAGCCTTCTTACTGCAGGGCCTTTGCACTTGCTGTTCCTGTTTTCTAGAATGATCTCATGGCTCTTCATATGACTGGCACCTTTTTATCTTTGAGGTCCCAGATCAAATGCCATCAGCTCACACAGTGTCTTCTCTGTCGACCTGACCTCATAGTCTACCTGCTCCCCCTTCCCACTTTACAGTCACTTTTTAATCACATTGCCTAGTTTTATTTCATCCGTAACATTCATCACTACCTGAAATTTTCTTCATTCATATATTGCCTGTATCCCCTTCTAAAATATAACCTTCATAGGAGCAAGGAACTTTTTATATGTTGGTCACTGAATACCCTGAGTTCATAGGCAATAGCACATAGTAAGTGCTCAATAAATACTTTTTGGATGAATGAATGGACAATTGGGGTCACCCATCCCATTGCTGATCCATTACCACTCATAGCTGGTCTCTCCCAAATATTGCTTTAGCCATGGCTGCTCAGATAAATTAAGGCTTGAGTTATGGGTTGTCAAGCAGCGTTGCAGCTAACTCCCTGCGCATGGGCCTGGGGCCATCTCCAGTGTGGATGGTGGGTCAGGAAGATGGAATGGTAAGTGCCTTGGCTTTTCTTTTTCCTTCCTTTCTTCCTTCTCTCTATTTCTTTCTTTTTCTTTTTTTTTTAAAATTCAATGAATAGTACAGGATCCTTGGCAATGAAGAGGCATTCTTGACTGACTACCCAAGCATCAGGACGCTCCTGTCCCATTTGCTATGTTACACTAAAGACATCATGCTCTTTCTTCCTAGCTGCTGTGCGGAGAAATGGCCTTCAAAATTCAATGAATAGTACAGGATCCTTGGCAATGAAGAGGCATTCTTGACTGACTACCCAAGCATCAGGACGCTCCTGTCCCATTTCCTATGTTACACTAAAGACATCATGCTCTTTCTTCCTAGCTGCTGTGCGGAGAAATGGCCTTCACACTGTGCCCACGGAGATGAAATTTCTTGCCAGCACAGAAGAGTAAGTTCCTGGTGAAATTCATAGAGAAGCCAGTGCTTGATTCAAGGAGATGCCGAACAAGGATTCAATTCTTTGCTGCAAGCAATTCCCCTCCATTCTCCAAATTTTTCTCCAAATGACCCAATGCTCAAGTTTCCATCATTCATCCCTATGGCATAGGCAAGCCTCCTTTTTAAAAAATGTGGATGTGGGAAGGGCAGGGGAGCACATTAAATCCCTAAAGTTCTGAGTGAGGTTGAGGGTTTTAGGTGCTTTCTTCTTGAAAGGAGGGACCCAGAAGAGCAAGAGAGTACAAACTACGTGATAGTCAAGGAGAAGAGGCATGCAGGCAGGCAGGGTCAAGAGGCTCTAGAGACAAAAAATGTCCTCTGATACAATAACAGGCCTTTGCACTTGCAAGACTTAGAAAGCATCTTCACATGGGTGTCTCATTTAGTCTTCAACATCCTTTGCTTATGGCAACGTAGTTATGATCATGGGATTTGGAATCACCCAGACCTGACTTGAAACTCTGGCTCTGCTACTTACCACCCATAATGCTGCTTTGTAACCTGCTATTTCACTTAATGGAGTGTAGTGGACATCTTTTCATCTCAATAAATTTGTCAACATCATGATCTTTTAATTATATAGTTAGTATTCTTAATTTCGTTCTTTTCTAAAACTCTTTAAGTATACAGGGAAAACAATCCAGAAAATACAAATAAGGAATAAAAGGAAAAAAATCCATAATTCCACCCCCAAGAAAGGCATCAAAACAACTTTGTATATACCTTTCTAGACTTTTTAAATACATGATTATTCAGGAAACATGAATATTTTTAGAATTAAACTAAGTAATACTGTTCCCTGCCTTACAGCTTTCATCTTAATAAACACCCATCTAAATCATCATTTTTAATACCTGCATTGGTGTTCTAAATAAATAAATAAATAAATAAAAATAAATAAATCAAACCTTAACCCCTGGGTAAGATGAATTTCTACTCCATTCTCAAATTTTTTGATTTTAAGATCTGATGATAGAAACCAGTGATTCCTAGCCATGCATGCAAATTCAAATCACTAGGGGAAGGGAAGAAGTCTGGGCCTCACTTATAGGGATTCTAATTCAGGAGGTATGGGGTGTGGGCTGAACATCCATATTTTACCAGTTGGTTTGAGCCCATTGAGTTCTACTATAAACTGTACATGTCTTTTTTCTGTTCTTTGAACAAGGCCTGGCTGTGCCTCGTGGTTTTTGGTCAGTGACAGAAAAACCATAATCCAAGATGATCCTTCTTCAGATGTGGGGAGATTCTAGGCTTAGCCCTCTAGTTTCCTTGGTTTTTTGTTGAGGTCGGAGCTGGCATTTGGTATTAGGGTTTGCTGGAGCACACCCCCAGGACTGGACAGGAAGAGGTGGGCTCTGGGGATGGGGGCAGGGCCTGAGTTAGGGGATGGAGAGAAGGGCAAGGGGCAGTTGCTGTCAGAGGGTTCTCAGGCTGCCTGTCTATTCTAATGTGAGTGGGATTTTCTCCCAACCTGCAAAGAAATTAGGGAAAAAGCACTAGAGCTGTAAGTGAAAATATTAAACATGTAGGATCTTGAGTAAATTACATGCAAATTGTATGCAACAAACAATGGACCCTCTGGTATGGAAGGAGGGATTGAAAAGGAATTCCAACTAATATTGATTTTGATTCTCCAGCTCAGAGCCAAAAGGAGGCTGGGGAGACAGGAGACATAGCTACTCTGAGCAGTCCCTTGGTTCTTGTTCCCAAAATACATTTTATTGGTTTACTCTGATTGTAAAATGATATAAGCACATTATAGAGCACTTGGAAAATATAGAAAAAATTAAGTCTGAAATACCTTCAATCACATTCTTAATATTTTAGCAGACTTCCTTCTAAGTCTTTTCTATGTGAATTCATTAAATATATGAATATATTTAACCTTATTGTCATCATACTGTTTATACAGTTTTAGAGTATAATTTTATCATTGAAATTTTTTAGAAACGCAATTTTTAATGACTATAAATTTTCCCATTTTGGGTAAGTGTCATACTTTAATAAAAAAATAAAGTATTTAAGTGTCATTCTTTAATTAAAAAATAAAGTATTTAAGGGCCGGCCCAAGGCTCCCTTGGGAGAGCGTGGTGCTGACAACACCAAGTCAAGGGTTAAGATCCCCTTACTGGTCATCTTTGAAAAAAAAAAAAGTATTTAATTTTAATAAAATATCTTATAAAGTATTTTATAAAGTATTTTATTTTTAATGGGCATTTAGATTGTTTTCATTTCATTATTATTATTACTATTTTTCTACTATAAATTATGAGACTGACCACATATCTGCTGATATTTTAATATTTTAAAAACAATATTTTTAGTTTTCTTTTGTCTAATGACAGAGGTGTGCTTATTCATTGTAGAAAATACAGATAAAGAAATAGAAGGAAATAAAAATTTCTCATAATCGCATTATATAGAGGTTATTAATGCTTTTGCTAGTTTGTTTGCTTATTATGCAATAGCTGTTAATATTTTAGTTTGTTTGTTCACTTATTTAGAAATGTCTGGGAGTGGGTTTGTGTTCACAAACTTTTGTATACATCATTTTTTAACTTACTGTTTCCCTTTTCTATGCTGACCACATTTATGTTATTTTTTAAGATATATTTTTAGTAGTAAAATTTCTGGATAAAAGAATATGCACATTTTAGACTCAATGCATTTTACCAAATTCCTCTCTACAAAAGATTGTTCCAATGATCAAGCATCAGGAAATCTGCCTGTTTTTCCACAACTTAACCAGCATTGAGTGTTATTGTCTTTAATCCTTTCAGGCTTGACGGTGTCTTAAGACTGAGGTTGGACACTGCTGGGCAGAGAAAGAACTCCTAGACATCCCCATCGTTTGGGCACAACATCCAGGCTCTATGAGAATATACAATGCATAGGTCAGAGGTTGCAGCCTGCAGATGTGTTTTGTTTGGTATTTTGTTAAATGTCTACATTTAACATCACATAATTACAAGTAAAAACTCAGATCTGGGCTTTCTGGGCCTGCACCCTTGCATAGCTTCCACCCCTTTAACGGGTGGGGTGTGTGTTCTTCAACTGACCATGCATGGTCCCCCCTGGCCTGCTTTACCCACTCAGGGACTGTCTGGACCCCAGGGGGCACTGAGATTTTGGCTGTAGGACATCTACAGTCCCACTAGTTCAGAATCCAGCATCTCCCAAGGAAGAGATTGAAAGGGTGCCTTCTATTAGAAGGGATGGAAAACTCTGTTCCCATGACTCCCAGGGGACCCTCTTGACCCTCTGCTGCTAGTACTCCCTGCCCGTCCTCCCCAAATTGGCATGGCTGACCTTGGTCTGCTCTTGTCTCCCTCTGTTCTCCAGTTTCTTTCCGCAGTGCGACGTGGTGAATTTCGGCTCCTGGTTCATTTTTGCCTTCCCTCTCGTGCTGTTGTTCCTGTTGTTGGGCTGGATCTGGATCTCCTTCCTGTATGGAGGGTTGAGCTTGAGGTACCTCATTTTCTTCTTGGGAGGTAGGATGGGCACGTAGAAGAACGTGAGCTCTGGAGTCAGTCTGAACGTGTGGGTTCCCAGCTTCCCCGCTCACTAGGGCACGGCCTTCCCCCATCTCAGACTCCTCCTATGAAAATGGAGGGTGATATCATTTCATGTCATATTCTCATGTCTTGACCTCCCGGGGACATGAGGATTATGGGGGGGTGTGTATGTCTTGCCTGCCATACCCAGGCCCTCAGCTAATGTCACCCATTACTAATAATTATTAATAGTATTGTTCTTTCAATAAGGTAAACACTCATGACCAGAGGAGAGGGAAGAGCAGTGTTTCTCATTTTATGGGTCCCTGGTACAGAAGATAATTTGGGGTGGCCTAAGGACAAGATATTAAGTAATACTGAAACATAGAGTGAGAAAAATATTCCTTTACCAACTCTCATCAAACTGATATGCTTACGTTGAGGAGAAAGTCTCAGCTGGGTGCTAGAGAAACTTTAACATCTCTCTAACCCTTCCAAATCAGCCTTTTAAACAAAGAAAGAGCAAGCCTCAGGCCCAGATGCTTAAGCCAGTAATGGTGTCTAGCGAAAATGTAGTAAGGTGCTTTGTTTGTATGTTTATTTTTGTGGTTACTTTCTGTTTATGACAAGTGATTCTTACTTTCTACCTCTAGGAGTGATATAAAGCTTTCTGTCTAAATACATTTCTTTAATTAAATGGTGAGTCTATTTGGAGGAAAATTTTAAGCAAATATGAGCCAGGTAACATGTGGATATAGCAACATTTGTGAAGGCAGGTTAGGAATGCCCAGTTTGGGAACCCTAAAATAGGAGATGGAGCTCAGAGCTGGGAGTGGCAGGCATGCCATAAAGTTACTCTCTGACTCATTTCCCTCCCCACATATCTAGGCCTTAACTTGCTCATCTGTAAGATGGACAGATGAAGCAAAATGTCTGTAAAATGGACAAAATCAGTAGAAGTGACTCTGAAGCAGAGGTGTGAAAATACTTTAGAAATAGAAAGGCTCTGAGTTGGTGTTCCTTGACTCAAATGCCTTCCAGGACTTCTTACTGCAGAAACTCAGGTTCAAAGCCCAATTTAGTGCAGGGAAGCAAGCCCAGACTTGGGACTCAGATGGTACAGAGTTCAAATCATGGCTCTGTGTGATCTTGCGTGGCTCTGTAACTTCTCTGAGCTTCTAATTTCTTTAATTTCTTCACTTGTAGATCGAGGATAAAAATTAGTTACAGCTAAGGTAAAGGAATGAAGGAGAGTGCGTAAACTGCCTAGGACAGAGCCTGAAGTAGAGTCCCTCTGTCTCGCCTACCTATTTTAATATCACCTGTAGTACTTGGCCTCAAAGGAGGTGTGATGGAGAAAATGCAGCAGGGTAGAGGGAAACCCACAGAGCGAGGCGTCTCTGAGTGGGTAACAGAAAAGGTTCAGGCCAGACCCATGATTCCATGTTGACTCAGCAAATGTCCATGGAGCACCTAAATGTGCCTAACACTGTCATAGCCATTGCAGATGCAGCGGTGGGCAAGGTAGAGACAGTCCCTGCCCTTGGGGAGCTTACAGACTAAGTGAGGGAGATGGACAATGAGCAATTAAGCATGGCAGGAATTACCAGCGGTGGTAAGTGCTGTGAATGAAGAGCGCGATTCAAGAGTGGGCACTGGGGACTCTCATCCAAGCTGGGGGGTCAGGAGAGCTTTCTTGGGGAACTGACTTTTGAACTGGACTATGAATCATGAGTAGACTTAACTCAGTAAAGGGAAGGAAGGAGAGGGGGATGAAGAAGAGCATTACTGGGAAACACAACAGCAAGAGCAAAGGCCCTGAGGCCAGAGGTAGCAAGGGATGTTCTGGAACTGAGAGAAGGTTAAGTGACTGTGTTCAGGGAGTGTGGGGGAGATTTGTGGGAGATGAGGCCAGGGAGGGAGGCAGAAGTTTTCAACTGGGGATTATTTTGCTCCCCACCCCCCAACATGGGGACATTTGGCAACTTTTGGAGACATTTTGGTTGTACCAACTGAGGAAGTACTACTGGCATCTAGTGGGTAGAGGCCAGGGATGCTGCTAAACATCCTCCGATGCACAGGACAGTCCCCCAAACAAGAATTATCCAGTGCAGAATGTCAATGGAGTTGAGGTTGAGAAACCCTGGGCTAGATCATTGAGGGGCCTGTGGTAGTTTGATCTTCCTAAAAAAGAGCTATTGTGGGTATAAATATACACACACACAAATGATATATATATACTCATTCATTTATTTAATTTGGATAAGCAACACAAACACATGGATCAAAAATTAAAACAATTCCAAGAGGTACTCAGAAAGAACTTTTCTTCTCAGCCATGCCCACATTGGCCCGTATATCCCCCCAAATGGGTATCCACTTTTATTGGTCTCTGGGTAATCTTCCACTGTTTCCTTAAGCAAATATAAGCAGACACAAACACATTTTTCTGGTGACTGGTCTCCCCGACAGATTTCATTTTGTATATTAGCAGGCATTTTTATAACATACATTTCTAGAAGTGGGATATCTGGATCAGAGAATAAACACATTTTTATTTTAATAGATATTGTGAGATCATTCTTCATAGGAATTGTACTAATTTGATCTGTCATTCATAATATATGAGAGAGTCTGTTTTTCTGCAGTAAAATGGATCTTTGTCAATCTTAGAAGAGAAAAATAATTTGCATTTATTTTATAGAGTAATTTTGAGCAACTTTTCATGTTTGGGGGCTATTAGTATTTCTTTTCTTGTAATTGCTAGACTGTGTGTTCATATTCTTTGCATATTTTTCAGATGGGTTGCTGGTCTTGATCTTATTGATTTCTAGTACTCTTTATATATTAAAAAGATTAGTGTTTATTTTGCTACATGAGTTGCAATTTTTTTCATGATTTGTCTTTTGACTTTGCTTATGGTGCTTTTTTCCGTACAAAATTCTTTTCAAAATTTTATGTGGGTAGGTTGATCAATCTTTCCTCATATGGCTTCTGAAATTTCAATTACAGTTTAGAAAGATTTTCTCATTACAGGAGTTATAAAAGAATAATCCATATTTTCTCCTAGTATTTTCATATTTTTTATATTTAAACCTCTGATCTATTTGGAAGTCATACTGGGTACTATGTGAAGATTGGATCCAACATCAGTTTTTGTTCCAGAGGGCCACCCAGCTGTCCTAACACCATTTACTGACATGAACTGTTGCCTAGTCCAAGGCCATAAAATATTCCCCTATGATTTCTTCTAAGAGTTTTATGGTTTTACCTCTTACAGTTAGGTCTTTGATCCATTTTGAGTTAAATTTTGTATATGGTGTGAGGTAGGGGTCCAAATTCATTCTTTTGCACATGGCTATCCAGTTTTCTTAACACTATTTGTTGAAAGACTCTTCCTTCCCCATTGAATGGTCTTGGTACCCTTACCAAAAATCAATTGTCCACAGATGTATGAGTTTATTTCTGGATGCTCAATTTTATTCCATTGATCTGTACATTCAACAGCATTTATTTTCCACAGCAATCTGAAATACCAACTTCACTGTAGACTGAATTCCCATCTGTGATTGAGTCTATTTCTAGACTTCCTATTTTGTCCCATTGATTTATCTGTTTATTCATGTGCCTTTTTGACTCAGTAAAGGGTTTCATGTTTGGGAGCCATAGGATTAGATTTGCTTTTTAAAAGATCAACCAGGCTAAATGTGGGGAGAGCAATTTTAGGAAGAGAAGAGAGAGGCAAGGAGACCAGTCATCAGGCAGTTGTGGTCTCCAGAATAGAGATTTTGTGATTTGGCCTGGTGGTGGTGGTGGTGGTGGTGGTAAGTGACAAGTTAGTCATACCTGCAGTGACTACTCCTAACCTCTCACTTTCTATTTCAGGGACTGGAGGAAGAAGAAACCCCAGATAAGAGCTGATGCAGAAGATAGGGCCCGAGCTGTGATTCGGGAAGAATTCCAGAACCTGGGGCCCACCAAGTGCGTGGGGGATCCTTGGGGTGGGGAGAGAGCCAGGCAATAGACATTGAGAAGAGCTACCTCCTGGCCTGGACCTGAGTCCAGGGGCTGAGTCCCAGTTAATTTCAGAACCAATAGCCTGGGATCCTGGAGATGGAAGATGGGAGGTGGCTTATACAGTCAGCCCCTTGCCCTGGTGCTGGGGTAAATACCAGCTGAGGAGCTTTATGCTCCTCAGGATGTACATGGGGTGGGAACCAGCCACTTTCTCACCTAAGGCACCCTTTTCCTCCTGGTACACAGAATATGTGACACCATCTTTGGTGACTTCCAGGACCTTGTTTAATGCATGTCTCTCAAGTGGTGAAAATAACTAGGCTTCATCAGGCCTGTGTTCAAGGACCATCTCTGTCACTAATTTCCTGTGTTGCCTTGGGCAAGGTACTAACCTTCTCTGGGCCCTGCTCTCCAATCTGTGAATTGGTTTCATTAGGCAGCTATTTCTTCCAACATTTGGGGATTCTCTCTTCCTACCTCTATCCATCCTCCTCTCCATGTCTGTCTCCTCTCAGTGTGTCTGTCTGTCTCCTTCTGTGTGTGTTTTTGTCTCTATGACTGTTCCTCTCTTTGCCTAGCTCTGTTTCTGTCTGTCTGTCTGTTCCTCCTTCTCTGTGCTTTTCTGACCCTGCCTCTGTTGCTCTTTCTCTCTCATGATTTTCCTTAGGACTGGGAAATTCCTGGTGATAATGACATAAACATTTTTGGGGAGGGGATGGCTTGATACTCAGGAAGGATCCTGGGGAAGTGTGGAAGCCCCAGGACATCCCTCCCCTCACTCTGGGGACTCCCTGGGGAGTGAATTATTTCTTTCAGTTTTCTCAGATGTGGGGCCTGGCCCAGTCATGCCCAGTGGGCACCTGCCTGATCCCTTCCCATGCCACGGTCTGCCTGACACCCAGGGTCACCATCGTGTCTGTATATCTGTGCCACAGGTTTGCTGAACAGGCTGTTTTCATCCTTTTCTGCATGTTCGCCTTGCTCCTCTTCTCCCGGGACCCGAAGTTCATCCCTGGCTGGGCCAGCTTCTTCACTCCTGGGTGAGATTCTGGGGACCCACAGGATGGACTCCAACAGGAGGGATTCTTGGAAGGGCTACCTGGAGCTGGGGAGGCAGAATAGCTGGGGAGACCTGTGTCTAGGTTTACATCTCTTGACCCATGTAATTATTAATAGCTCCCTCTTTCACTCCCAAAAGAGTTTAGGTTTAGGTGATAAAACATTTGGTTTTTCATGCATAAAGAGCTTTGGCTCTGGAATCAGACAAGACTGGGTTAGAATTCTAGCTCTGCCACTTCCAAGCTGCATGACTCTGAGCAAATCTTTCATTCAATCAACATTTATTGAGAGCCTATTGTGTGCTAAGCACCATGCTGGATGCTGGGGACACAGACAAAAGCATGTAGTTAGACAACAAAATAACTTCAAACTGTAATGAGTGCTATGAAGGAAAGAGTGAGAGGGTTCTATGATAAAATAATGGAGCAGGGGCATTGACTTTGGATGGTTCTGTGAAGAGCCAAAGGTTAAGCAGTGGAGACACACTGGGAATATCTCCTGAAGCCTGAGGGAGGGACAAATTTAGAATGCTTGAAGAATAGAAGGAAGCCCAGCAGAATCAAGGCCTGGGGGAAAGGAGAAAAGTGGGCCAGATGTGGCTGGAGGGGTAGGTGAGGGCCAGATTACAGAAGGTCTTGTCAGGCATGTTATGCATTTTGATCTTATTTAATTATTTTTTTTCTGAGAGCAGTGGGCAGCTATTGGAGGGTTTTTAATTACTTAACCTCTCTGTGCCTCAGTTTCCTCATCTGTAAAATGATACTGTAATAGTACATCTCTTGTTGGATTATTCTGAGAATAAATGAGTTAATACATGTCAAGTGGTTAGAATGGAAGAAGTAGGAAGAACTCAATAATTGTTGGCTGTATTCAGTAGGGAATGGAGAGTGGGGCAAAAATATAAGTGGGGAGAACAGTTAGGAAATGTAACACCATCTATATGGCCCTGTCTCCTAGGACAGGGGTCAGCAAATTATGCCTCATGGGCTAAATCTAGCCCATCGCTTACTTTTGAACGGTTTTTACATTTTTAAATGGCTGGGGAAAAATCAAAAGACAATTACTAGTTTGTGACCCATGAAAATTTTATGAAATTGAAATTTCAATATCTACAAATAAAGTTTTATTGGAGCACAGCCACACCTATTCATTTACATATTGTCTATGGCTGCTTTTACACTACAACATCATGGGTGAGGCCCATGTGCCTGGCAAAGCCAAAAATATTTGCTGTGTGGCTTTTTACAGAAGTTTGCTGGCTCCTAGTCTGGGGGACGGCTTCAATGGCTTGAGCCAAGGTGGTAGCAATGGAGATGGAGCAGTCAAGATATATTTCAAAGTGAGATATCATAGGACTCGCACTGGGTTGGATTTGGGGTTGTGAGGGAAAGGATTACCTGCATGGATGGTGGTTAGTTGGAGAAGAACATTCTTTAGGGGGTTAGGGGTGTCTTATCAACAATTCCATTTTGAGTTGGTTTAGACTCATCAAGTCTAATATATCTTTTAAATATTTCAATAGGCAGTTGGATATGCAAGACTGGAATTCAGAGGAGGTGTTTATGTTACAGATATAATTCTGGGAGTCATCATATAAATCTGGAATTTAAACCCATAGGAATTGATGGGCTCAGCTAGGGAAAGTGTATAGGGAGAGTAGAGAAGACCCCAACACTTAGAAACTGGGAAGGCTGGCCGCTTAGCTTAGGTAATTAAAACATGGTGCTGAAATCACCAAAGTTTAGGGTTCGATCCCTGCACCGGCCAGCCACACACTCACACACAAAAAAAGGAGCTGGGTAGAGGAGAGTGACCCTGTTAGAGAAACAGAAGAAGCAGTCAGTGAGGTAGAAGGAAAACCTGGAGCAGTGGATTGGAAGAGGCCAAGAGAGGGGAGTGTTTTAAGAAAGACTGAGTCGGCAAAGTTGTCCAATTCCAGTGTGAGCTGGAACACGATTAGATTTATCTTGCTGGGCGATTTCATCCAGTTGAGATATAATGTGAATCACATACATATTTTACATTTTTTTAGTAGTCACATTAACAAAAGCAAAAAGAACAGATGAAACTGGTATTAATAATATACAAGAGTACTTCAAAAAGTTTGTGGAAAAATGGAACATGGGCTACTCAGTAAATGGAATTATTATTGAGATATTTTACATTCTGTTTTAATACTAAATCTTCAAAATCTGATGTGTATTTTACACTTGAAGCACATCTTGGTTTGGTCTTGCCATGTGTCAAGTGCCTACAAGCCATATGTAGCCTTTGGCTACCATAATGGAGCACGCAGCTCTAGATAACCCCCTCCGCCCCCCTGAGCCTCAGACTCCTCACTGGTGAAATGGGTGCTATAAGTTTTGATCGCCTGAAGGTTGTCATAAGGAAGAAACAGTATAATTTCATGGAGCCAAGAGGTCACTCTTATTGCTATTACCATTCTTTTATTTTTCCAAAGTGTAGGTACTTTGTCATTTTTTTCAGATGAAAAATGGGTGTTATACACAATCCAACAATACAGATAAGGTGAAAATCACCTAGAATCTCAGACTCCAGTTTTGATATATGTCTTTCCTGACTTTTAAAAAATGCCTATCTGGGAACTATTCTACATTTTGATCACATTGTTGGTTATAAACTCATTGAACTGTACCCATAAGTCAGCTGCATTTTAATGCCTGTTAATTACGCCTTAATAAAACACATGCCGATTAGCTAAAAAGAACCCCACCGAAACGGGATTTTTTCAACAAAATCTGGCAACAATAAACATATTATTTGTGATCTGCTTTTTTCTTTTCTGTTTAATTACAAAAGTTATGCATACTCATAACAAATTCAAACAATACAGGATTGAAAAAATAAAAGTTAGTTGCCTTTCACCTACCTTCTGTCCCATTCACCAGAGATGATTATGATAAATCGCTTGGTGTATAACACAGGTTACACACACACACATTAATATATACACAGACATGTCAGTATACAGGTAACAAAGAATTGGAAAATATAGTAATATGCTCATGGACAACTTGCTACTTCTGATTTATTTCATTCTTTTTAAACACTGCATAGTATTCTACAGAATGGGAGCAACTTTGTGTTCAATACGGCAAATAAAACCTTGCTTTTTCAAAAAAAATTTACAAGGTATCTTGATTATATTTCTATGTCGCTACAAAAGATCGAGATGATCTTTTATTTAAAACAAACAAACCAGATGCAGGGAATTTCATTATATGGATAAAATGCAATTTATTTAAACATGCCCCTATCAAAAATCTTTCATTTTGTTTTACTCTTATCAGAAATGAACTTCCCTGTAACATAATCTGTGTTTCCCGAGGATAAATTCCTAGAAATAGAATAACTGGGTCAAGGGGTATTCTCATGTAAAATTTTGAAACACGTTGCCAGCTGCCCTCCAGAATGTTAAAACCGTTTATTCTCACATTACTAGTATATGTTCCCAACACCTTCACCAGGTTTTTAATACCCCTTTTCAAGTTGTGCCAGTCTGTTAGCAGATGAATGGTATTCCATTAGAGCTTTGATTAGTATTTTTCTGATTGTAGTAATACCGACCATCTTTTCCAATCTCCTGGCTATTTGAATACTCTTCTTTCCAAATGTGTGAGCTGAAAGAGCTTTTGTTAGCAATGGGCTCTGGATCATTGAACTTGGAGCCAGAGAAACCTGGTTCGAAGCCCATCTTCTCCACAGACCATGGTCTGGCCTTGAACAAGTTGTTTCTGCTCTCTGACCCTCCTCCGATGATTCTTTATCTGAAATGGAAGATGCCTGCCCTGAGGGCTTGACATGTACAACACTCCTCCAAAGGACACACTGTGGATGCCTGAAAGGTGGCCTTTAGGTTCTGAGGGGCTGTGAGCTGGGTGCATCTGGGCTTCATTGGTGTGATGGGCTTCATTCTCTGTGTGTTGAACTTCCCATCCCAGGAAGAATTCAACTGTGATATGAACACGTACATACAAGGCTCTCAGGAATCCATGTTAGGGTGATTTATGGGGGTTCCATGACCCCAATATTCTGTGGCTCTCAGATTCTTCCCTCTTTGGTCAAGTCCCTCTTCCTACGGTCCTTGAATTGGGAGGAGAAGCATTTGTTTAGCTCAAGCAGCATCTAAGTCCCCAGGGAGCTGCAGATAAGGGTCTTTTGCATCCAGGCATGGTTGTGTTCAGGCTGAGTCGAGTTCATGCACTGCAGGATAGGACCCAGCGACCCAGCCTCCAACAATGCCCCCTTCACAGCAGGCCTAATTCCCTTCCACAAATCCTTATTAGAAAATCTCCCAAGCCACAGCCTGCTGAGATGCCCAGGGTCACATGCATTGGGGCCTTCTCATTGTAGGTTTCTTTCTGATGCTGTCACCGGTGTGGCCATTGTCACCATCTTGTTCTTCTTCCCATCTCAAAGGCCCTCTCTCAAGTGGTGGTTTGACTTCAAAGGTAAGGTGGTCAAGGCAGGGGTCTCGGTGGGCTCAGTGAGGACTGCCACGAGGAGTGTGGTGATCAGTGGCCTAGAAATAGGGCCCCTTGCAGTAACCATGTGATCCCTTTTTCCTGTTTGAGCTGTTACCTCATCTGGGGACTTAGGGCTGCCCAAGGTGGTATTCCAGGACAAGGTTAGCATCTACGGTCTAGGGCCAAATCCAGCAGCTGTCTTTTTTTATACAGCCTGTGAGCTAAGAATTGTTTTCACATTTGAAAAAAATTAAAAGAACAATATTTCATGACACATGAACGTTACATGAAATTCAAATTTCAGTGTTCCTAAATAAAGTTTTGCACTTCCTCAAGAAACTTGTGGAATTTTATTTTCTTTAGCTATGTATGTACCTACACAATTGCCTCCATTTTCCTCTTGGCCCACAAAGCCAAAAATATTTACTTTCTGGCTCTTTATACGAAAATGTTGGCGACCCCTTGACCCAAAGCAGAAGTTTCAACTCAGTTGCCTAAAGGACCAGGCATGAAATAGCCAAGCTAGGCTTCAACCGAATAGGAAATGGTGGGGACTGAGGCAAAACTGCCTACAGGCACTCACATGCAGTTTTTAAAAAATCACTGAGCCCCTCTAACCAGCATGTCTGTAGGCTGGCCTTCAGACTACCAGTGTGTGACCTCCCTGGGGTCCCAGCAGACGTCTGCCAGAAGGCGGTGCCGGTGCCCACCTGCCACCTGCGAAGGAGGCCACCACTGGCCCATTCCCCACCTGGGGGAGCTCTGGACCAGGATGGAATCAGGAAGTAGGGGTCCTAATCGGACTATTTTCCGTTGTTGAAGAAAACAGAGGCTTACACAGGACAGCGCCAACCGCGGAAGAGTCAGGGTCCCAGTGCGGGAAGCAGCATAAGGCTCACGGGGAGGCCAGTGTGTCCCAGCCCCCAGAACAGCTCTGTGGTGTCGCCGGAACTGGGCCCGGAGGCCTGGCTGTGGGGCTGCGGTCGCTGCAGCTGAGCGGGCTCCAGCTGCTCCCCGATTCTGCTGCCCCATCTTGCAGCCCCCAGGCCTCTCTCTCCATCCGCTCTGTAGACCACGAATCGACCTTTCCGTAGTTTCTGCTGCTGCTTAATTTTGGCATCCTTTTGGCTTCTGCTTCATTTTAGTTTCTGCTTTCTTATAGCTCTGTTCCTTTGTAGTGTCTGCTCCTTTTGCAGATGCCACCCCTCCGAGTGTCTGTCCCCGCAGCTTCCGCTGGGTCTGCTCCCGGTCTGTCACCTGTAGCCTGTCCTCCCCCACACTTCCTGCTGCCTCCTGGCTTCTGCTCTCGCAGTGTTTACTCCTTCCTGGTGTCTGTCCGCTCCCTCACAGAACTCCAGCCACCCGGGCCCCTACCACATCATGCGGCCTCCCTCTGTGTTCATTCTTGCATCTTTAGGTGTCACCTCTTTTCACCCAGTTCTCTCTTCTTCCCATCGATACTTCCCAGAGTGCAAGTCTGGTCGGTCCAGCTTGTTCTTATTTGGCAGATCTTCTTCCACAAGATCCGTTGTAGCCTCATAGATTCCTGGCCAGCCGATGGCTTGGCCACCTTTGGTCAAGTGCCCATCCACGGCTCTGTCACCTTTAGGTGAACTCATAATGCCCAGAGCTTTCTCTCAGCTGAGGCTGGAGGGAAGACACTATGATACAGGTGACTGGCATCCCAGCTACTAATCTGCTGGGTGACCTCCGGGAAGTTTCTGTATTCTCTGGGCCTTGCTCTCCCACTTAGAAAACGAGGGAGTCCCTTAGACACCTTTCACCTCTGGCTTTTAGTGGTTTTATCGATGAGGGGTTGCACACTCAAATGCCCGCAGGGAGGTAACGTTTATATATAGCAGATCGGGTACAGGAACATGTGTTTCATGAAACACATGGACCCTCCTTGTCCATCTCCTTTCTCAGTTTTGAAACAGAACAGATTCTGCATTCCAAGGAAAACAGCAGAGAGTGCAATCGTAAGTAGCAAGGTCCTCAGTGTCAGGGCATAGTGGGGTCTCTGGAAAACCAGAGAGCCAACTGAAAGGGAGCCAATGTTACTCAGTTTCCACCAATTGTCACCATGTGGTAAAACAGGACTAGTTTTGTTAGATTTGTTGATTTTTCAAGAGAAGCAAAAAGTGTGGATTTTTACATGAAATCTCCCTGATTTTAAATGTTGGCAACAAATTCAAGTGGAAAAGCAGACACTCTGTGGGCCAACAGCAGTCACACTAAAACACACAGGTGTGTTGGGTCTGGTCCATGGAGTGTCAAGGTGCTACCTCAGCTCAGAGTTCTTTCAACTGGGGTGACTTGATCAAGGTCACACAGCTAGTTAGAAAAGAGAGGATGGAGAACCCAGGCATCCAGGCCAGCCTTGGTTTTCTTATTCTCCCCACCCCACTATCTTCCATTCTTTTATGGGTGTGAGTTAACACTTGCATTTCTCACCCCAGAGTCAGCAAGTATTGATCCAGTATTTGCCATGTGCCAGGCCTGGTGCTTGTGGCTGACAAGTGGTTGATGGTGATGGTGATGATGGTGATGATAACTTCCATGTCCTCTCTGCCCAACAGGCTCTTCCTCCAGATATTTGCATGGCTCACTCCATCACTTTGTTCAGAGCTCTATCCAAATGCCACCTCCCCAGAGAAGCCTTCTCTGACTACACCGTCTAGAAAATCGCCCCTCCTTTGTTACTCTCTATTCCTTTACACTGTTTTATTTTTCTTCACAGCACATACAATTCCCTGACATTGCCTATTTACTTGTTTAGCACATGCCTTCCCTACTGGAATGTAAGTTCTGCAAGGGGAGAGATTTTCTGTTTTGGCCACTTCTGTATCCCCAGTGCCCAGAAGGGTGTGTGACACATGGTAGGTACTCAACATATATTTGTTAAATAAATAACCAGGGACTTGCCCTGAGCAATGCCCTGCACTGAGCCCTTTGCACACATGGGCCATTTCATCCTGCCAGGAAGTCTCTGAGGGAAGTGCTGTTACCCCATTTTGCAGATAGGGACATTGAGGCTCAGAGAGGTAGAGAGTCACTGGTCTAAGTCACACAGCTGGTAGATGGCAGAGCTAGGATTCAAATCTAGTTCAAAGCCTGTGCTTTTCGCTACTGCTCTTGACAGCCAGCTGGCATAAAGTTGAGCTGGAAGTGGGAAATCCACATAGCCAGAGACTGTGTTTATAAGAGATAGTGGCAAAGGCATGGTTGGATTGGAAAGTAACAAAAACAGTAAGGGCTAACGTTAATCAAGGGCTCAGTTTGTGGCAGGCAGAATAGCAAGCATTTGCCATTTAAATCTGCATTACAGGAAACCCATGTTCAGGGTTTCTGCCTTCCCCAAGCTACCGTTACCTGCTATGTGGGGCAAGTCACTACTTTTTCAGACCTCCCCTGCCTCTTTAAGGAAATAATATTTTATCACCTGAAGGCAGAGGGCTGGTCACCTGACACCTCCAGTTGTCTCTTCCAGTTCTGGAGTTAACTGTATCTTGTATTTGGCCCAAGAACCCCCGGGCAATATACAACACCTGTGCCACGTGTATACACCTATGGGCTGTATATACCTGTGTGCTGCCAGCTGGCTGTTGGGGGGATGTTATTAAGTAGCTTTTATTGTCTTTATTTTGAGATTATTATACAAGGTTTTATAATCACAAAATAAAGACAATAAAAGCTACTTAATATCCCTCCAACAGCCAGCTGGTGGCACACACGTATATACAGCCCACAGTAGTTAAACCACTGTGTAAAACTTGGAAAAAGCCGCAAAATGTCAATGATTGCTTGACCAGAAAGTGTCCTGGGAGGTGGGGAACCACCATGAAGGAGCCAGACCTGTCCCTGCTGCCTCCCTGGTCGCAGCCTGCAGGGAAAAATCCCATTTCAGGATAGGGCTGTGTGTCATATACATTATTTAACCAACACTTATGGAGCAACTCTCAGGTGCCAGGCTCTGTTCTAGACACTGGGGACACAGCTGTCAGCCAAACAGAAACACCCCTCTGCACCTACACATCCATCATTGCCTGGGTCAGTGTTTGCGGGGACCCTTCAGGCACTATAACAGTGCCACATGTCGGCTGAGAATATGGGGCTTAGAGAGGTGAGGTCACCTTTCAAGGGCTCGCAGGAAGCCAAGGACCAGGAGGGTCTGTGTCCAGGCCTATGCGCCTCACCCAGAGACGGCACCTAACGCGCATGCGCCAAATCCGACCGGCCGCCCGCTTTGGTCGAGGTTATGGGGACGCAGCCGTGCACGTGGTGTAAGTGCTGTCTCTGGCTGCTTTCACGTTACAACAGAGGCTGTGTGTATGGCTCGCAAAACCTAAAGTATTCACTCTTGAACCCTTTGCAGAGAAAGTTTGCTGGCACCCCCCATCCCCCCACCCCCAACTGCAGTTAACCATAACACACTGCCACTTCTGAGGAGATAAACATCATCCCAAAACGTCATGGGCCAAAGATATCCATAGTTCCTATTTTTCTGAATCTCTTTCCTCTTTTTTACCCCTCTCTGTAAACATTCAAATACAAAGAAAGCCTTTTCTCTTGTCAATGAGGATAAAAATAGCACTTCTGAAGAAGGGCTGTTGGGAGATTTAAACTGTCCTTCCTGCGTGTGAGTGTCTGTCCCAGAAAATTGCCAAGCTGTACTATAAAAGCCATGAAAATTATTCTGACTAGAGCAAACACCCATCATGATGCTTGTGGGGTTTTTCACTAAAACTCCAATATCAGGCACTGGAGCCAGACCTTGGCTTCCTGGGGACCCCTGAGTGTCCTCACAAAGATGGGGCTGCAGGGCTGGTGGCTCCCTCCTCAAGCTGAGGGGTCCTGACTGTGTGCTGGGTGCTCTCTCGGCCCAGCTCCCAACACGGAGACAGAGCCCTTGCTGACCTGGAAGAAGGCCCAGGAGACAGTGCCCTGGAACATCATCCTTCTTCTGGGAGGGGGCTTCGCCATGGCCAAAGGCTGTGAGGTAAGACCCGGCAGGAGCAGCGGGTGGGCTGTGGGCCTGGGAAGGGGGGCAAGTCCCAGTCCTAGTGGCAGCTCCAGGATCAGAGTGAGTGGACGACATGGGCCCTGCAGGCACCACCAGTTTCCTCATTTGCCAAATGGTAGTCATCATAGTTCCTACCTTGAGGGCCCACACTCAGTGCCTGGTGCTGTGGAGGAAGAGAAAAGGTATGATCTGGGCTTACCAGGAGCTCACAGTGGGCATAATGCTAATGCTATCATTACTCAAGGACCCCGTGAGTGCAGAGGACCAACACTGTGGCCACCCCGTGCCAGGCACCATTCACATGCTTTCCACACATTAACTCACTTAAACCTCCCGTCAAAGCTATGAGGTAGATGCTATTGTTATCCCAATGCTATAGATAAGGAAACCGGGACACAGGGAGGTAAGTAATTTGCCCAACGTCACACAGCTCTGCAGTTAGGATTAGAATCCAGCCAGTTTGGCACTAGAGTCTGTGCTGTTAACCATTCTAATATGACTGTTAGATAGTAATGTTAATTAACATTATTATTAATGTTATTCCAGAGGGCTCTGTGAGCTCAGAATCAGGGCTGGGACTGGGGTAAGGCAAGTGAGGTATCTGGAGTGCAGAGTTTCAGGAGGCACTCACTCTCAGGGTCGTGCAAGTTCAAGGTCAGCCAGCCCTACTCAGAGTAAGTGCAGCCTCCGTGTCCAACATATATCATAATGTATTGTCTTATTTAATCTTCATATTGACTCTGAGAGACAGGTAATATTTTTATCCCCATTTTACACGTAGGAAAACTGAGGCATGGAAAAATTATGCAACTCTCCTGAAGTCATACTTAATTGTACTCTGCTTAGGAGCTGGGGTTCGAACTCTATCTAATTTCATAGTCCAGGCTCCTAATTGTTCCCTCTAGAGAATTTCCCACATGCTAGATGCTGCTTGAAGCACTTTGTGAATATCGACTCAGTTAATCTTCACACACATCACTGAAGTAAATAATATTGCTGTCCCCATTATAAAGATGAGGAAATGGAGGCAAAAAGGGTCTAAATAGCTTGCTTACATTTGTGCTGCCAGGAGATGCTGGAGTCAGGATTTGAAGCCAGAGCTTACGATGCCGGGCTCCCCCGACCCCTAAATCTCCCTGTGTAAGCCAAGGCATTCAAAACCACAACAATTAAGGGTCAATCTAAAATTAAGGTAAAGAAAACCTGAAATTACTTCTCATATCGCTTTCTCTTTTTAATTCAATTTTAATTTGAAACATCCCGATTGATTGAGAATGGCCAGGCCTTTATATCCCAGCATCCATCGATCAGTCTGTGGATGAGCTGTCCCAGGAATGGGCATGACATTGGGTGAGGTAGCTCTCGGGGTCTGAGACAGCTGCCTGCACTCCCTGAGCTGGGGCAATGAAGCCTCACATTCAGGTTCTCTACATGGGTACTCTTTTTATGAAATATATTTCACTTTATTCATCCACCCCCCAAATAACACATGTACAATAGTATAGACTTCAAAAGGAACAAAATAATGGATGAGCAAAAGTACTTTTTGTCTCCATTTTAGGAGTCCTGAGGCCCAGAGAGGTTAAGTGACTGGTTCTAGGTAACACAGCTTATTGGTAGCAGAGCTAGGATTTGAACTCATGTCTGTCTGACTTTTCATGCTCCTGCCTCCTACTGGGGGTGTATCATGGAAGGCATCCTGGAGGAAGTGACATGTTGTGCAGGTCTTGAAGAGGCTGTGTAATGCAATGGAACCAGACCATCTGAATTGGAATCACAAATCTCCCACTTCTCAAATGTGTGATCTTTGTCCTTACTAAACCTCTCTGGACCTCAGTTTTCTCATCTGTAAAATGGGAATAATAGCAGCATCCACTTGGTAGAGTTGTCACGATTAGTAAATGAGTCAGTGTGTGTGGAGAACTTAGAATATGGCCCAACACAGTTTATTATTATGATCAGATGTTGGGGAAAAGGGAAAATCAGAATCAAGGATGACACAGAAGTTCATGTCCTGAGCAACTCGGTGGAAATGGTGTTATTTATGGTGATAATCTGAACCCAGCTTGACCCTGAGGCCGGGGGCTGGATGAGATGACCTGCAACCCCGAGGCTTCTCTGAGCTTGGGGGGTGGTGGGAGAAGCAGGGGCAGTCAGTGGGGGCTGGGTTGCAGAACCGCTGAGCATGCTGGGAGGCCAGTCTGGCTCTTTGCCCAGCGCTGGGCAGCTGGCCAGGGTTTCTCTTCAACGGGGGCTTTGTGTAGTAGCTGCCCCTTCCTTCCAGCCTCTGCCAGTACCATCCCCTCCCCAGGGAGCTATAGACTGGCCCAGGAGCGACCAGAATGCTTATGGCACATTCTGGTTCCCGGAAACTGCCCAGGGCCTTCGCTAGGCCACAGCCAGGCCTCCTGAGGTGGGGAGGTCCTCGGATGGGATCCAGGGTGAGCCTGGACATCCTGGCTGCCCAGTGCTGCTTCTGAAGGGCTGAAGCATGTCCTAGTGCTTACTCTGAGCTTGGGCAACTCGCTTAAGCCCACTACGGTTTTCTCCTGCTGAAAAACCACGTACTCATGACCCCCTATATAAACTCAAGTCCAAAGGCTTCCCTTGATTATCCACAAAGCCACAGAAGGCCTGGCCCCTTGCCTACCTCCCCAACATTGGCACCTCCCTCCCTTCCTTCACTCCCCTCCAGTCCCACTGGCCCCTTGCTGTTCCTCAGCCCCATCAGACTCATTTGTACCCCAGGCCCTTTGCATCTACCTCTTCTCTGTTGAATACTCTTCTGAGATCTCTGAGTCCTCGCTCATCAGGTCTCAGCTCCTCTGAGATATCTCCTAGGCCACCATACCTAGAGTAGCCATCACCCCCAGTCCCTCTCCCTCTCAGTGCCTTCTCTGCCTATTTCCTTTATACTGCATCTACCTCACAAATGATCCTGTGTATGTGTTTATCGGTTGTCTCTCTTACTAGAGTGTAAGCTCCATGAAGGCAGGGACCATATCTGTCTTCTCTACCACTGTTCCAGGCATCTAGAAGAATCCTGGTACATAATGGTGCTCAAGAAATATTTGTTGACATGACCTATAGGATGGGCTATTTTAAGGACTGATAACATAATGTATGGCAAGTCCCTAGAAGAGAACTGATACCTACCAGGGGCTAAAACCGGGAGCCACTCTCACCTTCACTACTGTTACTGCTTTTATTATTTTACTATCTCATGGATGAAAGATTGGTCTTATTCTGTTAACCTTCTTTATATCTTTAATCACCGCAACAAACTGATCTACAAATTTATTGAGATTACAGAAGCTTGTTATTAAGTCAGAGTGGAGCAAACCCCACAGGCAAGTAGAGATGTGTATTCTCCCCACCCCTCATTTTCTGCTAGAAATCTGAGTCATATTTATTATTATTATTATTATCATTTTATTGGATAAAATAATGAAAGGATTAAGCCTAATTAAATGATTGAGATCCAGATTCAGAACTCAAAATCACCAGGGAGAGTCACTTCACTTATCTTGGCAAATCTCTTAAACCTCTCTGTGCTTCATTTATTTTTTTACCATAAAATAGGGATAATTGTATTATTTTGTGGGGTTGTTATGAAGATTAAATAAGTTAATATTATTAGCAAAGTACTTAGAAGAATGCCCAGCATAGAGTAAACACTATATTAAGTGTTAAATTAAATAAATGATAATAAATTACATTCAGTGTTTACTATGTAGGGACTGTTTTACGTGTGCTCTTATAATCTTTACCACAATCTCTTAAATAAATCAAGGAACAAAAATGTTAATTAATTTGCCAAGGTCACACAGCTTGTAAATGGTGCAATGGTTTGAATGTTCAGACATGTGCATAAAGTCTTCTCTTTTTTCCTTTAATCAAATTCACTGGTGTCTCTACCTTAAGAATTACTATATGGAATAGTATACGCACAGCTGAGCCTAACTGTGTTTTATGAGCCTTTTAAAAGATTTTCAAGGGCATTTTTGGCTGCAGGAGACTTTGATTTCGAACATTGAACTTATAACTGAACACCTTCTTTATAAGTGTGAACCTACTGTATATCAAAGAGATCAAGAAGAGAGGACCTGGTTGCAGTAGCAAAGGAGGAGGGGCTGGCCAGTTAACTCAGTTGGCTAGAGTGCAGCTTGTAACACCAAGGTCAAAAGTTTGGATCCCCATACTGGCCAAAAAAAAAAAAGCAGAAAGAGAGGGCATCATCCTGCCAGCTCAGGATTCTCCCTTCCCATCCTGGGCAAGGTGGCCTCCGGTACTTCTGGTCATCTTTGGGGTCCCTTAAGGAACACAGTTTGACAACATTGGGTAATTTCTGAATCCCACCACTCTGGGCATCTTTTGACTTGATACTACCAATTGCAGCTGGCAGGCATTGAACACTTACCAGGTGCCCAGCCACTTTTCTGGGCATTTCATAGATTAGCTCGTTTCCTCCCAATAACCCTCTGGGACAGGCACTATTATCATCCCAGGTTTACAGATAAGGAAATTGAGGCACAGAGAAGTTAAGTTATTTGTCCAGGATGACACAGCTAGAAAGGATTAAGCTGGTAAGCAAACTTAGTCTGATTCCAGATCCCTTTCTTCTCACCCTCTGGCCATACCTTCTCTGGCCTTGGCTGTCGCTGGTCCCTGGAGTTCCCGGGAACACTGAGGGGCTGTATGTTTCCAAGAAAATGGAGCTTCCGATTTCTAATGGAAAGGAAAAGGGCAGGTGGAGTCCCTTCAGCGTCCTCAGCAGAACCCCAGGCAGCTGGGGCTTTTCCTCTCTCATGAAGCTGCCAGACCCCCCCTCCAGTGTGGAAGCTGAGCCAAGGACCAGAGTGGTTGCCAGGACATTGGCTAGAAGCCTGTCACTCAGAGGCCCAGTTAAGGGAGGCTCTTGGCTTCTCACTCACCCAAATCATTAATATTCTCTCTCAACAGCCCCTCTCTGTTTAATTGTGCTCACTGCCATTGGTCTCTTTGCCAGGGCTGTGGCCTGTGGGAAAAACCAGTGGCCCCATTTTTTCCTTGCAGCACTCTCCGGACCAGAGGAGGGGGGTGGTTCGACTCGGCCACATACCATATTTGCCAGGCTATCAGACAAACAGTGTAGACGTGCAAGAAACACCTTAATTTAACAAGGACTCTTCTGGGGAAAAATATTTTAAAGCATTTATTATTCGTGCATTGAAGGCAACTTTTAAGTCATATTGTAGAGGCAAAGGTATTGTTTTATTTAGGTAAAAACTCTATGCTGTATTCTAGAATCCATTACAAAATTTTAAGTTCTAAGTAAGTAGAGAATTTTCTGTTAAACATAAAAGAAAATAAATAAAGTGTCTTTGATAAAACCACGTGTATTGCTCCGGGAGGACACTGGGTTGATAAAAGGGCTGTGGTAGAAATGCATTTGATTCTAAATGTTAAAGGACAGGGCACTCCGGTTAGCTCAATTGGTTACAGCACAGTGTTATAATACCAAAGTCAAGGTTTCAGTCCCCTTACTGGCCAGCTGCCAAAGCAGCTAAAGCTGTACAACCTTGTCTGTGTTAAGTAACCCACGTGTAGGTAGTGCCCTTGTAGCTTTACTGCGAGCTTGCGGCATGGCACCACCAGGGGGTAGCATCGAGGATAATTTGACGTCCTTGGCTTTGCCGCTTTGTGGTCATAAGAAAGATCTGTTGGACTCAGGGTTATTTAAGAATGCACTTGATGGCAGGCAGGCCGGCAGAGGTGAGGAGTGTACATATTATATACTGGTAAATAGGGTAACTCCTGGAGAGGTCTGCAGAGAGAGAACCCTGGTAATTCTGCAGCACTGGCGGGAAACTTGAGTCTAGGGGTACTGCCCTACTCTTCTCTGTCCTGGAGGACTGTGGTGAGCTCCAGGCATTGCTCTTAATTAAGAGGTGAAGTGACAGACTGGCGTGTCCAGAGGAAGGTGCTGGGTGGTAGGGAGCTCTGCAGAAGCACATTCGCTTATGGAGGTAGATGTGATCTAAGTCACTACTTTTGGGGACCTTGGCAAGTCACAAAACTTTCCCAGACTCAGGTTCCTCTTCCATGGAACAGGGACAATAATATCTACCTTACAAGGTTGTTGGAAGGAGCCAAGGAGGTAATGCATGCAGGTGCCTGGACCCCTGTAAAGCCTCAATAATGGTGATTCCTATGACATTGAATAATAACATGATGTTAATAAGGTTAATATTTGTATTATTATCATTGTAATAGTTATCCTTACTGTTGATCATTAATACCTTTATTAATGATAATCACATTGGTTGTGTTGCACCTGATGTATATCTGATACATGTTTTATATTACATATGATATATATTATGCCTTGTATATATAATACATTTGATGCATATTAATATATCACATAATTATAATAATAATTAATATTTTATATAAATAATTATTAAATTTTTGTAATTAATAACTATTGTTGGAGGAATGAGAAGATTTACCATGGAGGGTCCGATTCCCCTCTCCCACTCAAGCTGGAGCTTAGGGGTGTTAGAACCAAATGGATTATTGGGGACCCAGGGGTTTGGAGTGGAAAACTGTTTAAAAAGTAGAGAAGCTGATTCAAGCCCCAGTTTGAATATGTGACTTTGGCTCAAATGTGTGACCTTGGACATGTCACTCTGCACCTGTCTCCTCATCTGTGAAGGGGCACAGTTGTCATTGTTATGATCGATCCCATCCCTCCCTTGGGGGCAGCAGGTGGGGGTGGGCTGGTTGTGAAGGCGTGCCCCCTCCCCTCCGCAGGAGTCGGGGCTGTCTTTGTGGATCGGCAGGCAGCTGCACCCCCTGGAGAACGTGCCCCCCATGCTGGCTGTGCTGCTCATCACTGTCGTCATCATCTTCTTCACAGAGTTTGCCAGCAACACGGCCACCATTATCATCTTCCTGCCTGTCTTGGCGGAGCTGGTGAGGATCCTTCTGGGGAAGGGAGGGCAGGGGAGGACCCCTCCATCAACAAAGGTTCTGAAACCTCTCCCCTACCACCGAGAGCGTCACTGGGTGCTGTGTTCCCATAGCTCCCTTCCAAAGTGCATGGAAATGTCAGAATCATGATGCAGTTTTTAAAATACTGCTTTTGTTCCTCAAGAAGTGCATAAACGGAATAAATATTCTCAAAGTACATCAAATTCCCTCCTGTGGGAAAATTAACCCTTGGTGACATGGAGAATTTCATAGGAACACATGAATTACTAAATTTGGATAAGAAGTAGAAAATCTGACTAGACAAATAACCATGGTAGAAATTCTAAGGTAGGTGAAGCTGTAGCCGCCCTCTAAAGCAGGGATTTCAGCACTATTGACATTTTTGGCCAGAGAATTCTTTGTTGTGGGGGTTGTCCTGTGCATTGTAGGGTAATTAGTAGCATCCCTGGCTTCTCCCCACTAGAGGCCAATAGCACCTCCCTAAATCATGACAATCCAATCTCCAGACATTGCCAAATATGCCCAGGGGGCCACAAATCATCCCTGGTTGGAACCACTGAGCTAAAGATCGCCAGCCCCAGATGGTTTGGTAGGCGAGAGCTAGCAAATCAAAGGACAGATAGTTCCCAACTCATCCGAACTGTTCCTGAGCACAGAGATATAGAAATAGCCATTCAACCCATGTGTAAGGTTAGCAAAACCCTGACATCAAAACCAGACAAGGAGAGCGGAGGAAGAAAAAGCTGTATAGTTCAGTTTCACGTATAAACAAAGATGCAAATAGCAAAACGAATCCAGGATTGTAAGAAAAGAATATATCACGGTCAAGTAGATGTTATAGTAGGAATTCAAAAAAGGATTAACATTAGGCAGCTATCAATATAGTTTTATATTTAAATAGATTAAAGACCAAGCCATATGATTATCTTAATATAATACAAAATTGATAAAATTAAAGCAGTGGTGCAAGAACATGCTTTGTATGCAAGCAGTGATACACCAGCACACTTATCTGCATCATCTTCTTTGTAGTTTTTATTTGCTTATTAAATGCATTAATTTATAATGGTGATCACACTGTATTAGCACACATTGATACGCTCTTTGTTCTTTTTCAATGACTGGGGAATCTTCCATTATAAGTGGACAGTTGTTGGGCCGGCCCGTGGCTCACCTGGGATATTTGCTTATTAAATGCATTAATTTATAATGGTGATCACACTGTATTAGCACACATTGATATGCTCTTTGTTCTTTTTCAATGACTGGGGAATCTTCCATTATAAGTGGACAGTTGTTGGGCCGGCCCGTGGCTCACCTGGGGGAGTGTGGTGCTGGTAACACCAAGACCACAGGTTCGGATCCCTATATAGGGATGGCCGGTTAGCTCACTTGGGAGAGTGTGGTGCTGACAACACCAAATCAAGGGTTAAGATCCCCTTACTGGTCATCTTTTAAGGAAAAAAAATGGACAGTTGTTAATTTACTTAAACAATTTCCCACTAATGGACATGTAGGTGTCTCCAGACTTTGTTATTATCCAGCAATGCCACCTTGAACTTGCCTTGTCTGTCTATGCATCTTAAATTACTTCTAGAGAAATTCCTATAACTGAAATTCCTGGATTAAAGAGCATGTGCATTTAAAGTTTGTTAGATATGAGGAAACTGCCCTCCAAAGTGGCTCACTGTTTTACACTCCCCTCAGCAGTGTGGGGCGGGTATCCCCATACCCTTGCTAAGTGTGGTTGGATTTCATCAGACCCTTTCCCAGGATCTGAGGGACCTGGCAATGGAGAGAAATGGGGGTGCTATGGGGTGGTATGGGGGAGAAGAGGGAGCATAGAACCCACCCAGGTCTGTAAGGGGCAGCTTTTACTAGAAAAGCCACTTGCAAAGGACACATTCTTCTAATTTGCCTATCATCAAAACCAAAACATTTTACACACAGGAGGATAATTTTAGAGCTTCTTGAGAAAATTTATATGCTTTGGGTTGCAAAAATTCGCTAGAGGGGCCAAAATGTCCTATCTTAAGTAAAGTATGAAAAACATGATCAACATGAATTGTAGGTGAATATGTCATTTGGGGGAGGTGAAAAACTGGTGGACTGATGACTGAAGCCACCCACAGCTATATTTGATCCACACAGTCTTAGGAATTTGGAAATGCTTGCCAACGGATGCTATCCTGAGCTCTCTTTATCTCTGAAGTCCAGTGAGGCCCCAACAAAAGGTTCCCAGAGGCCGGCTGTGGGGGTCGGATCGTTGGGCTGAGGGAAGGTCCAGACAGGGGAATTGTGACTTTAGAGCCTGGCTCTCATCATGTGGTCCCTGGGCAAGCAGCATCAGCATCACCTGAGGAACTTGTTAGAAACACACATCTCCAGGTCTCACCCGAAACCTGCGAATCAGCAACTCTGGGTGAGGTGGGGCCAGCTGTCTGGGTTTTAACAAGCCCTCCAGGTGGCTCTGATGCATGCTCACCCGCACCCATCCCTGATGAAACTGCAGTGTGGTGCTGGCATGTCACTAACCTTGGGGATGTTCTCTCCACCTCTCTCTTGGTCTGGGTCTCTTCTTGTCTCTGTGTCTGCCTGTGTGGCTGCATTTCCGGCTGCATTTCTCTCTGTCGCTTACTCTCTCTTGTCTCTGTTGTCCCCTGTCACTCTGCCTGCCAATCTCTATTTATGTCTTTGTCTCTCTGTCTCTGAGTCTCTGAGTTACTCTCTTTCCAACCATCTCTATCTCCTGAGGGGTTTCTCTACATTTGTCTCCATCTCCATCTCTCCCGCCCTGCTGGGCCCAGGCCATCCGCCTGAGAGTGAACCCCCTGTACCTGATGATCCCTGGCACGATTGGCTGCTCCTATGCCTTCATGCTGCCCGTCTCCACACCCCCCAACTCAATTGCCTTCGCCTCTGGACACTTGCTGGTCAAAGACATGGTGAGTCTGGGCATCTCTAGCAGAGGCCCGGGGAGGCGGGTGGCACCAGGTGGTGGGCAAGTCCTGTAGGCAGGACTCCTGTGCTTCTACCCCATCCCCCAGTCTCTGAATAGGTCATTCCAAGTGGGACCAGGAATACACTTTCTAGCAAACGCTCTGGGACAATTCTCATGCTTAGACAATTTCGGGAAACACTGCCTGAGTGACTATTTTCCAAAGTTTGCTTCAGGGACAAGGGACTCCCCCTCCCTCTGGGTACTGCTCTCTCTTCCTGCTTGTTTGACCAACTGCTTGGTGCCCAAAATCTTTAGGAGAGAGAAGCATCAGAATCACCCTGGGACTTAGGGGTGGGCCTCAGTGCCCAGCCAGCCGGGTATGAGGGTGTGAGTTGGAAGCTGAGGGTTGTGGCAGTGATGACCCACCAGCTTCCAGCAGGGACCAGCCACTGGCAATACGCTCCCTCTTCACGAAGCTCCCTGCTAAATCCACTCCTCCCTCCCTCCCCCTACCTCCTGCAGCCTCTACCCTCTTCCCTGGCTGCCTGGAGCCTTTGTACAGTGGGCACTCAGGGAACGCATGCAACCCTTACAAAGCTGGTGCAGCTGAGAAGGGTGATCTGCTTTCCAGGCACAAGATCTCAGCAGAATAAATGGAGGGAGAGAGAGAGCCAAAGAGAGAGGGAGGCAGAAAGGGATACCAGAGCAAACAGAGAAGAGAGGAGATGAAGGGACACAGAGACCCTTTCACCTATTTGTTCATTGCACAGGAAGCTGCTGAGTGCATACTGCACTCCAGCACCAGGGCTTCAGCAGCCTGGGAGAGGTGCAGATCTGCTCCTAGGAGGTTGCTTTCTATTGATAGAGACAGACAGTAGACAAGTTCAGCATATTTTGAAAAATTAACTAAATTTTGATATTGCTAAGTGCTAGGAAGGAAAAGAAACATGGGGGAGTGGAAAAGGCTGGTGGGGGCAGGGTTGGACAGTGAAAGCCTCTCCAAGGAGGTGACCTAGGAGCTGAGACCCGATCTGAGATGCAGCCAGTCTTGCAAAAAAAAGGGGGAAGAGCACTCCCAGCAGAGGGTACAGTGAGTGCAAAGCCCTGGAATCGAGGACCAGAAGCACAGGGCAAGTCTGCTGTGACTGGTGTGGAGTTGGGGGGTATGAGGTTGGAGACTGGGGGTCAGGAAGACAGTGCAGGGCTTAGATTTGGACTGTTATTAGAGGTCCGTGGAAGGGTTTTAAGCAGGGCAGTGATGTGATTTAACATCTGTCTTTAAAGGATCACTTTGGCTGCTGGCTGGGTGGTTTGGTGGGGGGGGGCAAGTGGGGAAACAGAGAGGCTCTTCATAGAAGAAGACAGTGAGGGGGTAAGAAATGCCAACAATACAGATCTGGAGAACAAGGAGATAGTGAGAGAAATGGAGAGACCCGAACAGGTAGGGACTTAAGAGGTAGGGCGAAGAAACGCTCACAGTCAGCCCATCCTGAGCAGGGCATGGCTCACCTGCAGGGTTTGCTCCTGAGAGTGATGATTTAGGTGCTAATTAAAGTAACTAATATGGGCCGGCCCGGTGGCGCAGTGGAGAGTGCGCCGCTTGGGAGCACGGCGGCGCTCCCGCCGAGGGTTCGGATCCCATGTGGAGACCGGTTCCCACTCACTGGCTGAGCGCGGTGCGGGCGCGACACCGAGGGTTGCGATCCCGTTGCTGGTCCCTGGTACAGGCGCGACACCGAGGGTTGCAATCCCGTTGCCGGTTGCCGGTCCCCAGTACGGGCGTGACACTGAGGGTTGCGATCCCGTTACCGGTCAGTAGAAAAGACAAAAAAAGGAAAAAAAATAAATAAATAAAATAAATAAATAAATAAAGTAACTAATATGGGACCAGCAGGAATTTCAAGCCAGGCTCCCAGGACACTGGAAAAAGGAGACCCAACCATGCCCCCAGATCCCCCAGAGGTTTGGCCAGCCTCCCTCTCATCCTTCGAAGGTGCCAGGGGCTTTCAGACCCCCCAGAACAAGGCAGGACAACACAATGCAGTGTTTTCCTGACCTAACCTTTTGGCATCCTACCTTCACAATATATGCCCTTTCCATGAACCCTCTGCGGTAATAGTTATTTAACAATTTTACTAAGTCAACTTAACATTTTTAAAAACACTTAAATAAGAGTATTTCAAAAGAAAAGTTTCCAGCACATCTGTAAATGGAAAACTGGTATTACATGCCATAGAAGACAGGTCTAAAAAGGCAAAGAAATAAAACAAAATAATGAAGTTCTCCCTGATAACAGTTGCCTGGAGAAGGTTCTGAGCCTCTCCTTGTTCAAAAGGGAAATTGGCAAGGAGTAGATAGTGCTAAGGCCATGCTGGCACCTAAGGGAGACTTTCTCTGTGAGGAATAGATTCGAAAAAGAATTGAAAAGGGAATCACTTTTTCACTGTGTGCTGCGAGGCTGGGTAAGGTAGAGCAACCAGAAAACCCAGATGAGAAAACAGGGAATTTCAGTCCAAGGTGGACCGAATGGTACAAGAGGCCAGCTGGGGAGGGGCAAAGGGCAAAAACTTTCCAACTATGTAAAGAGGTAAAAATTTCCAGAAGAAAAATTCTTCCCAATAGACAAGTATAGTCTTTTTTTTTTTTTTTTTTTTCCTTTTTATCTTTTTTCGTGACCGGCAACGGATCGCAACCCTCAGTGTCGCGCCCGTACCGGACCGGGACCGGCAACGGGATCGCAACCCTCGGTGTTGCGCCCACCCCTCGCTCAGCCAGTGAGCAGCCGGTCTGTATGTGGGATCCGAACCCTCGGTGGGAGCGCCACCGCGCTTCCCAAGCGGCGCACTGTAGCAGTGCGCCACCAGGCCGGCCCGACAAGTATAGTCTTAACTGAACCTGCAGTGTGTGCACATGTGTGTGTGTGTGTGTGTGTGTAGTGGGGTGGGGGTGTTTAATGATCAAGATTATGTTCAAGTTGCATGACCCTGGGCAAGCCAACTTCTCTGGACCTCATTTTCCTCTTCTGTAAAATAGGGCTTAATAAATAATAACCTCTGTGAGGTTGCTTTCAGGGTTGAATACATAACCCTATGACAACTGGAGTGGCACAGTGCCTGATTCCTGGAAACCACTCATTGAATGGGGACATTTGCAACTCTTTGAACGATAGCCTTGAGTAGTGGAAAGATGGAAAGGTCTTGGGCATTGAGCAACCTGGGTTAGTCCTGGCTCCATCACTTCCCAGCTGGGGGATCTTGGGTGAATGATTTCTGTCTTTGAGCCTGGGTTTTCCCATCTGTACGATGGGTCTAGTGCTGACCAATCCCTCAGTCTATGTTCCATTTCAGGTGCGGACAGGCCTCCTGATGAACCTGATGGGCGTCCTGCTGCTCAGCTTGGCCATGAATACCTGGGCACAGGCCATCTTCCAGCTGGGCACCTTCCCAGACTGGGCCAATGTCCACTCAGCCAATGTCACAGCACTGCCACTCACGTTGGCCAATGACACATTTCAGACCCTTTGAATACCCCTGAGAGACTCCCTTTAGGCTGGGCCCTCCCAGAGGGCTATCACCATCACCTGCTGCTAGGACCTTGTAGGGCAATCAAGCAATTCTTTTTTTGTAATCAAATATGCAGCAAGCAAGGGTGACTTCCAGTGGTCTACTTGGGTCCACAGCCTCGTTACCTAGGACACCTCTTTCCCTCTCATGCAGTTCAGGGCCAGATTATCTTCCAGACCTGCTGCCTGAGAAACAAGCTCCTTTATGTGTGAGCTATTAGGTGATTAAAATCAAGAGTCCAATTTCAGCAACAATAAGCAAATCTGGAAGGGCATTTGTCTTGTGCAGTTGGGGCGGCAGCCCATCCATCCCCATGGACACAGCTAACATTATCCCCCACTGATTACTTTAGCTTGCACTCTGGAGAGACCATTTTGTCTATAAGGATCACTTTCCTGGGAGAGGCTTCTGGGGCTGCAATATTCCAGTCCAGTTGTTCCAGCTGTTCACAACCAGAGTGTGTTCTTCTTGGTTGGTGCCCGTTCTCCACCAGTTGTTTGATTATTTCCCCTGCTGATACCCAGCAGCCAGAGACGGTTTTCAGTCCCTGGAAACAGGGAGGCACAGATGACTTCCTGAGGACATGGAGACTGTGCAAAGTCTCCTTGCTGTTTCTCTGGGCTCCCAAGCACACCAGGGGAGTTCTAGAAACCCCAGCTGACCTCCCTACCGAGGAGTTTTAGGATTTTCCTGTTTAATCTGATTCAGTTTGGCCATAATTCTAGGGTGAGAAAAAAATCAAAAGATAAATTGGAGCCTTGTAAAAGGCAAGGGTAAAATGTCTTAGGCAGGCATACAGGGAAAACTGAGACATTCCCATGAGCCAGTGGCTAGAGAGGAATGTCCTGGAGGATTTAATCCCTCCGTGTTTCAAGCAGAAGCATCTTGGTATCTTCAGTGAATAGCACAGTATTCAGCCCAGCAGGCATTCAGGAAGTGTCTGCTGAACGGAATGGCCCAGTGTTCGCCCAGTAGCAGTAAAGGCTCCAGCCGAGGGACCCAGAACCCTCACACTCCCTCTTCCTGCTCCTCTGAGGGCCGAGATTCCCCTGAGGAGCAGCGCCCAGGGACTGAACTCTCTAGATACAGCACAAGTGAGTCATGGGTGTTTCCCTGAGAGCAGTGGGGAGAGGCCCCCTGAGTTGGAGGTTGAGCTCTGCCTCTTTTCCCAGTGAGCACGTCAGTATTTAATCACAGTCACAGCCCGTTGGGGTTTGCGGGGGGCAGGGGAATGCGCTACTGTGGGACAGGGGAGGGGAGAGCTTCATCCACAGAGAAACCCACGGGACTTGTAACAGATGAATCATGATTTCAAATACTTCCGATTGAAAATGCTATAAAATAAAGAACGTTAATCAACATTGGATCTGGAGATTATTTGCCTTTCTGAACATAAAAGAACTTCAAAGCCCCAAATTCCTGGGCTGGGGGTTCCACAGTATTGACCTTTCTGACTTAATTTCCTACTGCTCTCCCCTCTCCTCTCTACTCAGCCACTTGCCCAACTCTCCTGCCTCAGGCCCTTTGCACGTGCTGTTTTCTCTACCTAGAACACTCTGCTCCCAAATATATGCTTGATTCCCTCCTTCACTATATTCGAGCCCCTGCTCAGGCATCACCTTCCCGGAGAGGCTTTTCTGACGATCTTGTCTAAAATATCACTTTCATGACCCTCCACCCTCTTACTCTGCTGTATTTTTCTTCTTAGTACTTGGGACACTGTATTATTTATTTTTTTTTGTTTATTATCTTTCTCTCCTTCTGGAATATAAACTTATAAAAGTACAAACTTTATTTGGTTCACTGCTGTAACTCCAGTACCTAGAACAGTCTCTGGCACACAGCAAGTATTCGGTAAATATTTGATACCTGAATCTACACCAGAATTTATGAGAAGGCGATCTCATCCTTTGTTCTGGGGTCTATTTGGGTCATTTTTTTGTTCATTCATTCTTCCATTTATTCATTCAACAAACATTTATTTAGAACCTGTTATGTGCTGGTTCATTGTTGCCACCTGCCTGGAACTTACATTCTAGCAGAGGAAACAGTCAGTGGAAGGTAAACAAACAAATAAAATGAATCTTGTCATGATGTGGGCTAAGAAGAAAATGTAACTGGCTAATGGGGTAAACTGACTCAGAGGTGGTCTCAGGAAGGACTTCCCTGAAGAGGCGGCATTGGACTGAGACCTGAAAGAGTCAGCCAGATGCTCATGGCAACATGGGAGGAAGAGAGATGGTAGGGGTTGGTGCAGGGTCATTGGAAATACACCAGGGGCTCACGTCTTGAAGATACCAGGAGTGCCTGCAAGTCAGAAAGGACAAAATAGAAGAAACAAAAAGTCTGTGCTTGTTATCTGTGGCTGCATAATGAGCCACCCCAAAATGTAGGGCCCTGACACCCAGCAAGGTATTAGCTCACGTTTCTGCATTTGGATAGCTCTGCAGGAATGGTTTTGTCTCTGCTCTATGTGATGTGGCCCAGGTGGGTCGCTCAGCTGGGGAGTTTAGCTGCGACTGGAATGTCTGCGAGAGCTGCTGACCCTCCAGGGTCCCTCTTCATGTGGCTTCTCCAGGGGTCTAGCCTCAACCTCTGTACCCGACAGCGGGCTTCGAGAAGCCCATTGAAGCTATAAGGCCCCTTCAGACCTCAACATGGAAGCCAAAGAACGTCAATTCTGCCACATTCTGTTGGGCAAAGCTGGCCGCCAAATGGTCTGGCTCAGGGGGAGTGAAATGGACTCCACTCCTCGGTGGGAGGAGCAGCACCCAGCAGGGTGGGGAGGAGTGGGAGAAAGCCATCTACCAACACATAACCCCCCAGTGGAAAATGAGGGAAAATATGAAATGCTGTTCTGAAAATGGCCAACAGGCCCGTGAAGAGATGCCCAAACCCTCTTGTTTATAATCAGGAAAATGTAAATTAAAATAAGGTTCAGCAATATGCAAACCAAACAGGCAAACACTAGTGGACAGTAAGTGAAGGTGGGATGTGAGGAAACAGAAACCCTCATGTTCTGCTGGGGAGACTGTGAACGTCAGCCTGGCAAGCAGTTTGGCAGAAATTAGGGGAATTTGTTCACTGTATTTCCCATGACCAGTGATCCTGGGACAGAACAAGCCAGGCTTGTGAACCAAACTGACTCCATTTTCCCTGCAGAGGACACCTTGTTACTTTTCCACTCCTATGTCATGAGGAAACTGCACATAGTTGGAGTCTCAATAGGAAATAGTAAGCCCATGAACTGAAGGGTCTGTTCCAAGATGTGAGCAGAGAGGAGGGAGACCGCAAGGGAGAGGGTGGGAGCCTGGTGGTGGGGAGGGAGGGGGAGGGAGAGAGGGGCACCTCCCAGCTGAGGCCTCAAGGGAGCCGCCTGCCAGGAGCTGGGTCAAGGGGCACAGTGGCTCAGGATGACTCTGCAGGGAGGGAGCTGCCAGGGATCTCCCTTTCCACCCTCCTTCAGCTCTCCTGCTGGGGAACTCGGGGGTTCTCCAGAGAAACAGGCTGACAGGATGTGTGTGTGTGTGTGTGTGTGTGTGTGTGTGTGTGTGTGTGTCTCACAGAGGGGAAAAGAGAGAGAGAGATTTATTTGAGTAATTGGCTCACACAATTACGGAGGCTTTCGTGTCAGTCCACAATATGATGGGGGAGGCTGGCAGGCAGCTGGAGACTCAGGAAAGAGTTGCAGTTCCAGTGTGGCGGCTGTCTGCTGCAGAACTCCCCCTTGCTTGAGGAAGGTCAGTCTTTTGTTCTATTCAGGCCTTCCACTGCTTGGATAAGACCCACCCATGTTCTGGAGGGCCATCTGATTTTCTCCAAGTCCACTGATTTAAATGTTAATCTCATCCTAAAACAAATGGATCCCCATACTGGCCAGCCGCAACAAAACAAAACAAAAAAACACCCTCACAGAAACATCCAGAATGATGTTTGACCAAATATCTGAGCACCATGGCCCAGGCAAGTTGACACATAAAATTTTGTCTTGCACCAACAGAAGCCAGCAAGCAAGGGAGTCTGATGCAGCCTACCCTGGTCCTCCTCCCAGGCACAGGGCAGGGAGGAGGGGAGTGGGGAGCAGGTCTGGAGAGGCAGACTGCGAAAACGTGGCACAAAGAGTTTAGGCCAAATCAGAGCTTGCAATCTTCTGATCCCTAGCTCTGCATCCAGCCCTCAGTCAGGTTTTGGTTTGCCCTCCTTAAAGCAATGAGTTTTAAGTTATTAACTGGTTGCTAATTTTTAAAATTCAGGAGATTTCACATAAAAATCTGGATTTCTGCTTCTGTTGGAAAAGAAAACACCTTGCAATATGGAACCCTCATTGCCACCTGACAACAATTGTTTGGAGCTGAGTAGTTGGGAGAACTTAAGTTGGAGCATGAACTCTCTCACTTGCCACAGTCCCCACAACCCCTTAATGTCTTACACTGGCTCTCCTTCCCCTCTGTCACCTTCCTGGCCTGGAAAGTCATTTGAATCTATGACTCCTGAACTGCATGATCTGAAAGGTCCATTCAGCTTTAGTGGTCACTGGTTCTAATGGCCTAGAGCAGCACTACCCAATAGAACTTTCTGTAATGGTGGAAGTGGCGTATATCTGCTCTAATCCTACATGGTACAGCCACTTGCTAGGTATGGCTGTTGAGCACTCATAATGTGGCTAGTCCAAGTTGAGATGTGCCATAGTATAAAATGCACACCAGCTTCTAAAAACACAGTATGAGAAAATGAATGTAAAATACCCCATTAATAAGTTTTTATATTGTTTACATGTTAAAAGGATAATGTTTTGGATATACAAGGGTACTTCAAAAAGTTTGTGGAAAAATGGAATTGAAAGATAACATGAATCTTTCCATGAACTTTTTGAAGACCCCTTGTATTATATTGAATAAAATATTTTATTAAAATTAATTTTAGTTTTTTATGTGCTCCTAGAAAGATTTAAATTATACATATTTGTGGCTCACATTCTGTTTCTATTGGATAATGCCCATATGGCAAGATTTCAGCCACCTTTCTATGTTCTCAAATCACGTGGACAGTGGCAATCTTCTATACCCACACACCGAGAGATTCAATGACTCTAATATCCTAT